CGCCCCCAGCCCCCGCAAAGAGGGGGGGGGGGGAAAAAAAAACAAGCGTGGCCAAGAAACGGGTGGCCAAAACCGATACCCCCAGGCAGCGCCCAAGGGCGGCAAAGATCCGGGCAGAGAGGCGGGCCGAGGACGCGTCTCAGACGTGTCCTCGGCACGCATCTCTGCCCGCATCTCTGCCGCACCTCTGCCGCCTCTCCGCTGCGTCCGCCTCTCGCCCACGCCTCTCTCGCCCACGCCTCTCTCTCTCTCTCCCCCCCCCTCTCTCTCTGTCTCTGTCTCTGTCTCTGTTTCTCTCTCCCTCTCCCTCTCTCTCTCTCGCCTGGCTCTCGCAGCGACTCCTCGACCCACGACAGCAGCCGGCCGACGGGAGAAGAGACGGCGAAGGTCGCCTGCAGCATCGTCCCGTCCGGCAGCCGGACGCGGACAGACGCCTTGCGGTACCGCCTCCGCCGCCGCGCCGCCTCCGCCTCGCGCGCCGCCCGCGTCTGCAGCACGCCCTCCCTCTCCCTGCGCGCAGAGGCCGCCGCTACCATCTCGCGCGCGTCGTCGGCGGTGAGGCGGTAGAAGTCATCTCCGAGGTCTGCGGGTCTGCGCCGGGGTTGGGGGAGGGGGGGGGGGGGCGTGTGTGTGGGGAGGGGGGGGAGGGCCGTGTGGGGAAGGGGGGAGGGGAGGGGGGGGGGAAAAAGGGGGGCGGGGGCTGCAAAAAGGTGAGGCGGGGCGGCGGTATGCGCCTCGCGGCTGCTGCGCCGTCCGGAGCGAAAAAAACGCCCACGTCGGAGGGGCCCGCCTGGTGGAATGCAGAACAGAATCTAAAGCAGCGAGAGACAGCGCCTGGCCGAGGTGCAGCCGTGGTGCAGCCGATGTGCAGCCGAGGTGCAGCCGAAATCGCAGCCGAAATCGGAGCCGAAATCGGAGCCGAGATCGGAGGGGCGGAGAAGAGTCGCCTCTGCGTGCGTCGCCCACTCCTCCGCCTGAGAGGCAGGGATCGTCGTCTCCACTCTTCACTGTGCTGTGACGACAAGAGACCCCTCCACCCCTCCCCCTCCCCCCCTCCCCCTCCCCCCCCCCCCCCCCTCCCGCCTGGGCCAGCAGCGCAGCGCACTCCTCCAGTGCCCCCGTGTCTGCAGCCTCCGCCTCAGCGAGCTCGGCGAAGTCTCCTGCGCGAGGAGGCAGGCCACGGGTCGAGGGGCGGCGGCGGCGCCGGAACCGCCTCGCTCTTCCCTCGGCTGCAATCTCGGCTGCATTCTCGGCTGTCATCTCGGCTTCATCTCGGCTTAATCTCGGCTTCATCTCGGCTTCATCTCGGCTGTCATCTCGGCTGCAATCTCGGCTGTCATCTCGGCTGTCATCTCGGCTGTCATCTCGCGCCTCCCTCCGCGAGCCGGAAGCCACACAGCTGGAGCAGCGCGTGGGCGGCCGGGCTGGCGCCGAGCGCCGCCGCGATCTTCGGGTTGGAGAGCCGAACCTTGCGGTACTTCGGCTCGGCCGGCGCGCCGAGCACGTTGGCGACGAGCTTGCTGAGCAGGCCGAGGGCAGGCGCTGCGGCGGCCCCGTCTGCGGCGAGGAGGGAGGCCGCCTGCAGGGCAGGTGCTCCGACGCGTCAGGGCCTCGCGTCCGGGACATGTCCGAGACATGACATCTCCGAGACAGCGGCCGCCTCGTGCGCAGCGGCGAGGCGCGCGCCGCTGTCGGCTGGCACGTCGACTCGCAGGACCTGCTCAGCACATTAGGATCATTACGTTCTTGTTGCCTTTTGTCGGCCGGCACGTCGGAAAGGGACCCTCGGCGCCTCTGCGGCGGGCGCCGCCACGGCGGGCGGCGGGGCGGCGGGAGAGATGTCTGGTCCAATCGCGCCCGATGCGAGGAGGCTGATTGCAGCCTCGACGTCGCCGCCGCTCGCCGCGAGCGCAGTGCGGGCGGACGCGGCGTCGAACCCCATCTCGACGCAGACGGCAACCGACTCGTCCGACACTGCGGGCGCTGGCGCCGCCGCCGGCGCAGGGCCGGGTGCGGGCGCGCCGCCGACGGTTCCTCCTCCAAAGTTGCGCGGCGGAGCGGCCATCTCCTTGCTCGCAGCGATGCGGTCCTGCGTCGCCGCAGCCTTGGCGACCGCGCTCGGCTTGGAGCCGCCGCCGCCGCCGCAGCCTCTGCGCGCGAGCGCCGCCTCGCGCGCGGCGGCCGCTTGGGCCGCAGGCGTCATCGCCCGCGGCGGCGGGGGCAGATTTGCGCGCGGTGCATCGGACGGCGGCGGTGCCGCTGGCCGCGGTGCTGGCGGCGGGGCCGACGAGGAGGAGCCGAGCGCCTGGCCGCCGCCCTTCTTCTTCCACTTCTCGTCCTTGGTTTGAAAGAGGCCCTGCAGAGACTTGCCCATGTTGTCAAAGGCCTTGCCTGCCTCCTTCATGAGGTCATCCTTCTTCTCATCCTTCTTCTTGCCCTTGTTCTTGTCGCCGACCGAGTAGACGGACATCGTGAAGGACGCGGCGGCGCTGATGAGCGGGCGGTCGGCTTCGACTAAAAGAATTCGCGTTATAGGGCGGATGACAATGCGCATGTCGTCGACAATGAGGCGGCGCGAGTCGGCGGTGCGGCCGGTGAAGAGGTCGCACATGTCAGAGCTGCGGTGTTTCATGAGGACCCGGTTGGCGAGGCGGCGGATGGCTGCAGGGATGCCGTTGGGCGGGTGCCGGTGACGTTGCCCTTGTCGTCCCGCTTCTCGATCCCCAGCAGCTGGAGGTCGCCCCAGAGCGCGGCGGCGCTGTCGTGCACCCTGCCCTGGTTGATGGCTCCCTATCAAACAGGATCTCCCTCACGTCCGGGCCCGAGTAGTGCAGGAACTCGAGCTCCTCGTAGCTGACACCGTCCACGGACATGGCGCGCGCCTTGGGGACGGAGTGGAAGACCTCCCAGAAGTATACTTTCTTTTTGCCGAGGGGCGCAGTGAAGTGTGCCCTCTCACGTCTCAGATCGCCAGCCAGTCTCTCTCTCTCTCTGCACGATGCAGTCTGTTTATTTAGTTCTTTCAAAAACCGCCCGCCGCACAACACGCAACACACAACATACAACAAGTGCGCGTCTTTTCTCCTCTCGTATAAAGTACATACATTCTTTAAATTCTTTCTGGGTTGTTGTAAAATTCTTTCTGGGGGCAGCGGGGTATTTTGGCGCCGAGCCCGAGGTAGAAAGGAACGAAACGGCACATTCCGATTGCGGCCGCCGCCACACTACTTACCAGCCGCCGTCTGCACCGATGCGCACACGCGTAGCCCCAGCCGTCGTTCACTTCCTGCAGGGCCTCGTCGTACTTCTCCTGGCGTTCATCCCGATCGCGCCAGCGTGGGTCGTTTTGCTCGCGTTTTCGTCAGCATGCTACCCGCTGGGCTTCTTCAGTTCGGATGATGCGGTCGGCCTTCCAGAAAGCTATCGCCGCTGGCGTCGATTCCCACTCAAGATCCCGATGGTTCTCTTTGTAGACCTTCCGACGGGCTTTCTCCTCGCTTTGTACGTCGGAGGCTGGGTTTGCATACTTTTGCCGATCACACACGTCGCTTTCGAAGTGGTCAGGCTCTTTGCTCCTTTCCAAAACGACCATAGTTCGAAAGCGACGTGTACTGGCAGGGTTGAGTCGACTAGAGATTCAGGGGTCACGTCAGCTAGCTCCGATGTCGAGGCTCCTACTCGCAGTTTCTCGCACCTCCGCGCTCAGCGTGAGGACGGCACCAGATACCGTGATCACGACTCTGTCTGGAAAGCGCTCGAGGGCGACGGCCTCGAAGGCGAGGACTCGAAGGTGATGCGAGGCGATGTGCGTCTACTCAGCCTCAAATGGATGATTGCTCGCGCCGCTGGGGGCAAAGCACTGCCGCGGCGGCAGGATCTCGAGAAGGATCACCCAGAGGCATTCATTGACGTTGCTGAGCTCAAGCAGATCGAGAGAGGAGCGAGGCTTGCGTTCAACCCCCACGTGTTTGGAGAAATGATGGGGGCGGTCCTCGGCAAGGGCGGCGGCCTTTGGGGCCTCCTAAAACTCTTGGCGTGCCTTTTTCGCCGCGAGCATAACGCTGACAAGTTGCTCCCGATCGTCTCCGTGTCCTACTGCTGGCTAGAAGCAGGACACCCGGATCGGGACGGTCGCCAGCTTCAGCTTCTATGTGACAAGCTCAACCGTCTCTACGGAGGGCGTGGGCTAGTTGGTGTGTGCCAGGAGTATGGTTTCTCTGACATGGGCGTCTTCATCGATTGGACCTCCGGGTATCAAAAGGATCCGGCGCTCTGGTCCGAATGGATGGCAGACACTGCTTTGTATTCGCTGAGCGACGATGAGCTCAGAAAGGTGGCGGACCGCGAACGGTTTGTCGCTGAGCGACACGCGTACGAGGCGATGGCCGACGGGGCGCTGTACGCACTGAGCGAAGACCAGCTACGGAACTTGCCAGATGGCGAGCGTTTGGTCGCCGACCGGCGCGCGTATGAGGAGAGCCGATCTGAGGAGGAGAAGGCTAAGTTCGATCGTATGCTCAAGCACATGGACATCTGGTATGCGCACTCTTCAATCACGGTCGTCCTGCTTACGCAGCTTCCCGAGCAGCTTCCGCCTGGCTTTGATTCGACGCGCACCTACGATTCGCGCGGGTGGACGACGTTCGAGCGGTGCAGCGCCGAACTTGCCAAAAGCTTCGAGCTGGGCGTCGCAAAATGGAAGCTTGTGATCGATGTGGCCGATGCTGACGGAGGCGCGCAGCGGCGATTGCCGACAACCCCTGAACAGATGGAAGCGCTTCTCGCTGACTGCCGCTTCACAAACGGCTCCGATGAAAAGACGGTGCTCCGCCTGTACGAGCAGACAGCGTTGGCGGTACTCGGTACAGTTGAAGAATTGAATTTCCTCGGTCTGCCCCTCAATTGCGATGATGAGTGGTGTTCACCCGCTAAACTGGCGGCCGCTCTAGATTACTGCAACCGCCTCAAGCAGTTGAACCTTGCCGCCACCCAACTCAATGACAGGGGCGTCGAAGACCTCGCGCGTGGGCTCCCTCGCGATGCGCTCCCGGCGCTGCAAAGACTTGTGGCGCTGGTCGCTTTGGTACGGACGGTATTAACGCGCTCATCAAGGCCTTCAACCGTGGTGTCGCCCCGGCATTACAAGAGCTCACGTTATGTTTCACTCCCATCGGAGACGCGGGGGCTGCGGCGTTGGCTGCGGCGATCGCGGCAGGCAGGCTACCAACGCAGATTAAGTGGTTGGACCTGGGTTGCTGCAATATTGGCAACGAGGGGGCGGAGACGTTGGCGGAAGCACTGCTCGAGACAGGTTCTGAGTGCCGCATTGCCTGCCCATTGAACCGGATTGGCATAGCCGGCCAGTCGGCACTGCTCAAGGCTCACGAGGGAAGGCATGGCCCATCGTTTGCGCATGCCCTCACCATTTTGCCCTGCAATGGCACCATATGGCCGGCAGCCTTCTCGCGTGCGGTAGGCCGAGCAATGCGCCGTGCTGTTGAAGGGTAGGGGGTTGACAGCTGTCTACCCCCTACTGAGCCTCTCAGGCCTCAACGCTTGTGCTCAAACTCGCGGGGTGTCTCGGTGTCTGGGGGGCGGGGCGGGGGCGCGGGGGAGGGCGGGAGAGCTCCAGGCCGGCCTCTCACTCGGGGTCTCTCGGGGGAGAGCTCCAACAGGACGAGACTCGCCACGGCCCACGGGCACAGTGGCACACGCAGTCGCGCCGTTCTCCCGTTCATGAATATTATGCTCCACACTGATCATTATACGCGTTCTCCAGCCTTCGGTCACAGGTCAACAAGTGTACTCACTTAACACGCGTTGTCCCTGTTGAGCTCTGTGACACTTTGTGTGACACAACGACATGGCGTGCGCGGGAGGAGCGCGGGACTCGAGGGGTGCCGTCGGAGCGACTCGGGCTCAGCGCACAAGCGACGAGCCGACGACCCTCCACCCTCCCCGAACTCAACACAGTCATGCAACGGAGAAAACTGCTCGAAAACTGGGCCGAGTGGCCACAGGCGCTTTGCGGCGCCAAACGCGTGGCGCGTCACAGCCAGCCGCGGCACTTGACCTCGCCTCGCTCGGTGGCGCCGCAGAGGCACTTCTTCTCAGAGTACTTTCTCCGGGTCGTGGCGCCCGGGTCGCGCAGGTAGCCGACCTCGTCGCCCTCCTTGATGTCCTTCTTTGCGAAGAAGCCGAAGCGGCACCAGCGGCCGTCCGGGTCGAAGTAGGACTTGAGCGGCCTCACCACGAGGTTGGGGTCGCACCGAAAGTTGATGAAGGCGCCGACGTTCCGCACGGCGAATCCGTCGACGAACTGATCGCTCGAGGCGGAGCCGCGCTCAAAGACGTAGTCGCCGACGCGCTCGTGCAGCCGCGTCCGGCGCCCCTCCTCCTCGGGGCTGATGAGCTCGCCGACGTACTCGCACACAAAATCGTCTTGCCGGATGTCCTCTGCGGCCTGCACGCCCCACACTGCGGACGACTCCGAGCACTTGGTCAGGAAGAGGCGCAGCTTCTTCTCCACGCCCGCCGCGCCCGGGAGCTGAGCGGGGACGGGCTTCTGCTTGCGCGGCAAGGGCGGCAGCACGTCAAAGGAGACCTGCTCCGAGGCGTACACAAACAGGGGCGGCTCCACCGACTGGCCGCCTGGGCCGACTGCCGACGCGATCTCGACCTTGGGGTCAAGCGACACGAGCACCTGCGGACAGGTCGCAAGCGGCGCATGGTGGGCGCAGCGGGGAGGGCCAGCCACAGGCGGGCTGCGGGCTGCGGGGAGGGTCTTGGGGGCAAGGTGCGTCTGTGTGTCTAGGTAGCCCTCACGTCTCGGAGCTGCTGCACGAGCGAGCACTGCGCGAACTCTCCGGGCACGTTCTCGAACCGCCCGCGCTCAAACAGCCCGCGCGCCACGCGGAGCTGAGCCTCGGCGCTCGCGTGAGGCCGAGCCGCGCGCGCCCACCACAGCGCAACCATCTGGCGCGTCGCCGTCGGCCAAGCTGCCTTGTCGAGCTCGGCGCTGACGGCAGCGCTCGCGGCGCTCGCGGCCGCCTCCAAGGCGGCTTCGTCCTCCGGCTCGGGAGCCGGGCAGCCGGGCGGGTAAACCAGCCGCGTCGGCGGGCCGGAGACCTGGTAGAGGAGGAGCGAGCGCTCGTAGGCGCCGTCCCGCTTTTGGATCTTCGGGTAGTTTGGCTTCCCTTCGACCTTCAAGAGGGCGCGTGCGAGCGGGCTGCAGCGGCAGATGTCGAGCCACGAGAGGAAGGTGAGCCGCGCCTGGCGCCGCCCCGCTGTGGGGCCTTCCTCCGCCTCGCCGCGCTGCGCCGGGTCGCCCTCGCAGCTCGCCGCACCGCAGTGGCGCAGCAGCGAGCGGTCCTCTGCCGGCGTCTGCATCCCCTCCTGCCCGAGGAGGAAGAAGAGAAGCAGCTCGAGCGGCTCCCGCTGCCTGCTGCCGCGCACAGCGAGGCCCTTGACGAGCTTGCTCGGCGGCCCGGCGAGCACGTGCAGGACCGAAGCCGGCTTCAGCAGCCCGGCCCCAGCGAGCTCTCGCAGCGACGGCGCGGCCGCCTCCGCGTCGTACAGGAACTTGGCGAGCGCCGCGAGCGCCTCGCCCTGCCCGGCGCGCTTCAGCGTGTGGATGGCCCTCGCGTGCCACTCGCGGACTTGCGCCTCGCCGAGCGCCGGCCGGGGCACCACCGGCGACGAGCTCCGGCGCACCAGCTTGCTCTGCGCCGTCGGCCGGGCGCGACTCGGGCCAGGCTCAGACGCGGCGCCTCGTGCCTCGCCGGCACCGCCGCCCTCGCCAACTCGCGCCTCGACGCGCCGCCCAAGCGCCGATCCGCCGAGCGCGGAGTGCGGCCGCTTGGGGGGAGGCTTCCTCGGCGGCCGCCTGGCCTCCTCCACCGCCCTGGCGGCTGCTGCCTCGGCCTCTGCCGCCCTCGCCGCCTCGACCGCCCTCACCGCCTCCGCCGCCGCCGCCGCCGCCTCCGCCTCCGCCACCCTCACCGCCTCCGCCGCCTCGGCCGCCTCCGCTTCTGCCGCCCTCGCCGCCTCCGCAGCCGCAGCCTCCTCTGTCGCCTTGGCTTCGGCCGCCCTCGCCGCCTCCGCAGCTGCTGCCTCCTGCGCCACCCTCGCAGCATCGTGTTCGTGGACGTCGATGACCTCCACTGGCGGCGGCGGCGGCGGCGGCGGCGGCGGCGGTGGCGGCGGTGGCGGCGGCGGCGCCGGCGACCGCTTCGGCGTCGGCGACCGCCTCGAAACGGCCAGCAGCTGCCCGATCCTGTCCGCGTGCCGCCGCTGCCCGTCCGCGGCCGCCGCCGCCGCCAGCGCGCGCGGCGTCTGTCCGCGGCGGTCCTTAAGCAGGGGGTCGGCGCCGTGGCGGACGAGGAGGCGGACCGTCTTCTCGATCTCCTCGTCTGGCGCCGACTGCGCCGCCCAGTGCAACGCGCTCATCCCGCTCTTGTCCTGCTTGTCCACCTCGCCCAGCGCCTCGGCGGCCGCGAGCGCCTCGAGCATCGGCTCGACGAGGTCGGCGCTGCCACTCTCCGAGGCCTCCATCAGCGGCGTGTAGCCCTTCTTCTGTGCGTAGCTCACCTCGGCGCGCGGGTCGGGCGAGCGGGCGAGCAGCTCCCTCCCGCCCGCGATTAGGGTCGCCTTGTCGCCCTCGGAGGCGTCGCGCAGGGCGCAGCAGACAAAGTAGAGCGGGCTGCCCTCGGCGCAGTCGTTCGGGGGCTGGCCGGCGGCGGGCGGCGGGTTGCAGTCGCACCCCTTGCCGAGCAGGAGCTCGATCAGGCAGGGCGCGTACGTCGCTGCCTCGTGCATCGGAGAGCGCTTCCCCCGCTCAACGCCGAACGCGTGCGCGCCCTGCGACAGCAGGTCGGCGACCCGCTGGCTGTTGCCGTTCTTCGTCTCGTTGCACAGCGCCTCGGTCAGCTGCTTCCTCTGCTTGTTGACGAGATTCGCCCGGCTCTTTCCGCCGCCCGGCGTTGCGCCGCCGCCGCCACCGCTGCCAGCGTCGCCACCGCTTGAGCTGCCGCCCGGGGCCGAGCTGCCGCCGCCACTGCTGCCACCGCCGCTGCTGCCGCCGCCGCCGCCGCCAGCACCGCCGCAGCCAGCGGTGCTGCCGCCGTCGCCAGCGCCGCCGCCGCCAGCGGTGCTGCCGCCGTCGCCAGCACCGCTGCCGCCGCCGGCACCGCTGCCGCCAGCGGTGCTGCCGCCGTCGCCAGCACCGCTGCCGCCGCCGGCACTGCTGCCGCCGCCAGTTGCGGCGCTGCTTGAAGCGTCCGTCTCTGCGGCTTGTTTGGTCGGTGGCGGCGCGCTGCGGGCGGCACGCGTCACCTCTTCCAGTCGGAGCGCGCAGTCCTCCTCGTCCCAGACAAAGGTCATGGAAGGGCACGCGACTTTGACGATCGCGATGTGCCCGCGATCGCCTTGGCGGCACTTGCACGGCAGCAGGATCCTCACCTTTTGCCCCTCGGTGAGGTGTCTCGTGCTGATGCGCAGCTTGCGGACCGTGGGCATCGACGGATCCTCCTTGTGTGGGCGGTGCCTCATCTGGAGGCTCTGCCAGCTGAGGGGCTCAGACTCCTCCACGAGCGCGGCGGCGGCCGGCGCGGCGGCGGCCGGCGCGGCGGCGGCCGGCGCGGCCAAGGCCGACGCGGCCAAGGCCGGCGCGGCCAAGGCCGGCGCACCGCGCCGCGCGGGGGAGCCCGTGGTGGGGCAGGCGGACATGCACGCCTCTGGCGTCTGTTGCAGGGTCGTTGGAGTCCAAAGCTCTCGCACTCGCACGGGGATAATGAAGAAATCACACACACTTGTCATGCCGCGACCAGCACGCTCAGCCACGCCCTGCTGCAGTGCGGTGTCGGCCAGCTCGTTGAGCGCGCCGCTTCGCGTGCACGGGGAAAATGAAGAAATACAATGCCGTGCCTATAGTTACTCCATCCCTCCCTTGGGTTGTCTCTTTTCTTTCGTTCTTTCTGAGAGAGAGAGATTTTTATTAACCAACAAGAAATCACGACTCTCACAGTGATTTGGGCTCGGCAGCTTGTTAGCCCTCAGCTCTTTTCTCTTTCTGTAGTTCCTAACTAACTAACTAGCCTAGTGTTGTGCAACACCGGTGAGTCGCCGCCAGCCGGCGGGCGCATCAGGCAAGACCGTCCGCGCAGCGTATTCTGGCGTCACCGACCCGCCGGTCGCCTCCAGCGTCTCCGCCAGCGCGCGGCGGCGGGGTCCTCTAGAATTAATGGCATGTGTGGACTCCTCTCTCTCTCGCCGAAGTCCCCCAAAACGTCAGGAGACAGGAGAAGAAAGAGAGGAGTATAGAGAGAGATACAAAACAAGAACACAACGCACTCTCTCACATGACAAGCGATCCCACGACAGCGATTGTGGGGACTACATGATCCGTCCGTGAGGGGTGGAGCGGTGGAGGGGCCCGTCCGCGGAGCTCCAGTTGGTGCGCATCTTTGGCCTGCTTGTTGATGTTCTCGGCGTCGCCCGCTGAAAAGAAAGAAGAAACGCGTCAGCTGCGTCAGTCTGGCGCTCGCGCTTGGAGCTCCCGATCGACTGCGACGCCTCACCCGCCACGGTACTCAACAGCTCGTGCGTCTTGCTCGGCCCCTTTGACAGACGCATACTCTTCCACGCCAACATCATCGATGCTTGTGAGCGCCGCGCTCCTGCTCGGCACGGGAGGCGGCGAGCCGCTGCTCCCGTCGGGGTTCCGGCTCGCAGTGTGGCCGCCGCTACCTCCGCCTCCTCCTCCTCCGCCGCCATCACCCGAGCCGCCGCCTCCCTCGCCGCACCCGCCGCCGCCCGAGGTGCAGATCGACGACGACGTTCGCGAGGCGGTGTCTGCCATGTCCATCGAGCAGAAGGTAGGCCAGATGACCCAGATCGACATCTCCCAGGTGGTATCGTACACCGGAAACTGCAAAGGCGGCTTCCTCTGGGCGGACCGGCGAAGCTGCCAGCCCGAGCTCGACCGGCAGAAGCTGCGCACCTGGCTGTCGCAGTTCGGGCTCGGCTCGCTCCTCAACTCGCCGTACGCCTCTGGCTGCGTCGGCTCCGTCTGCGGCTGGACCGCGGCGCAGTTCCGCGCGTTTGTGCGTGAGGTGCAGCTGGAGGCGGCTGCAGCGGGCGCGCCGCTGCCCCCGCACCCCCTTCCCGCTCACCCCGTGCGGGCTGCCCCTCCCCTCCAGCCCTCCCCTCCAGCCCTCCCCTCCAGCCCTCCCCTCCAGCCCTCCCCTCCAGCCCTCCCCTCCAGCCCTCTCCCCCAGCCCTCCCCTCCAGCCCTCCGCTCGGGACCCCTAACTCGCCCCTCCCCGCAGGCGTGCCACCCCTCCTCTTTGGCCTCGACTCGACGCACGGAGCCGCCTACGTCCTCGACGCGACGGCACCACGCCACCCGCCCGCACATGCCCCGCACACCCACACACACCGCACACATCCACACACGCACCGCCACGCAGCCACGCCCCGCCCGCCCCTCGGTCCCGCACGACCCCTCACCGCCCTCACGCCTCTCTGCCCAGGTGCTACCCCACCAGCTCTCCGTGGGCGCGACCTTCTCCACTGCGCGCGCGCGCCAGTTTGGAGCCATCCAGGCCCGGGACACTTCCGAGAGACGCTTCCGAGACACTTCCGAGACACTTCCTAGACGCTTCCAGCCAGGCGCAGGACACGTCTCGCCCTCGCCACCCTCGCCACCCTCGCCACCCTCCCCGCCCTCCCCGTCCCCCTCCCCCTCCCCCTCCTCCCTCCAGGCCAAAGACACGCTCGCCGCCGCCGTGCCGTGGCTCTTCTCTCCCGAGCTCGGCCTCGCCACCAACCCGCTCTGGCCGCGCGTCTACGAGACCTTTGGGGAGGACCCGGCTCTCGTCAGCGCGCTCGGCGCCGCGACCATCGTCGGGATCCAGTCCGTCACCACCCTGGTCCCGCCCTCGCCGCCCGCGCCGCAGGGCGACCGCCCTCCGCCCGAGCAGTCCGCTGCCCGCTGGAGCTTCGAGTCGAACGACACCGTCCCGACCGGCGCCGCCGCGTGCGCAAAGCACTTCATCGGGTACTCGTCGCCTCGGTCGGGGCACGACAAGACGCCCGTCTTTCTGCCGCAGCGAGAGCTGCTCCAGTACTACGTGCCGCCGTGGCGCGCCGCCGTGCAGGCGGGCGTGCTGACTGCGATGGAGGGGTGAGCTCGGGCTGCAGGGGGAGCCGGCGTCGGAAGGCGAGCGGCTGGCTGGAGGGGCTCCCCTCGGTCGGCACTAGGTACCACGAGCTGAACGACGAGCTATGACTGATTTCTTGTTTATTACTTGTTATCTATTTCTCAGGTACCACGAGCTGAACGACGAGCTATTACTGATTTCTTGTTTATTACTTGTTATCTATTTATCAGGTACCACGAGCTGAACGACGAGCTATTACTGATTTCTTGTTTATTACTTGTTATCTATTTATCAGGTACCACGAGCTGAACGACGAGCTATTACTGATTTCTTGTGTACTGCTGATTATGTATTTCTATCAGGTACCACGAGCTGAACGACGAGCTATTACTGGTTTCTTGTGTACTGCTGATTATCTATTTATCAGGTACCACGAGCTGAACGACGAGCCGGTCGTCTCGTCGGAGGCCCTGCTCGGCGACCTGCTGCGCGGCCAGATCGGGTGCGAGGGCCGGCTCGTCGCCGGTCGGCACGCGTGGGCGATGATGAGGGAGGAGTGGTCGGTAGGTTCGAGGGGCTGCTCGTCACTGACTGGGGCGAGACTTGCTACCTCGAGGTGGACCGCGCCGACCGGTGGGGTCTCATTCATGGTCAACGACTAGGCGAGATCAGCTCGCTCGAGACGGAGCACCACACGGCGCGGAGCGGCGAGGAGGCGGTGCAGTCGGCCATCAACTCGACCTCGATCGACGTCTCGATGGTGCCGCTCGACGAGTCCTTCTCTCGCTCGCTCGTGCGGCTGGTGAGGCCGGGCCGCGGGCCCCGAGTCGGGTCCGTCGCCGAGGCCGGCAGAGGTCTCGAGGTCTCGAGGTACCTCGCCCTTAGGTGAGGGCGGGCCGCGTGCCGGAGTCGCGCATCGACGAGTCTGCGGCGCGCGTGGTGCAGCTCAAGAAGACGCTGGGCCTCCTCTCACAGCCCGTGCCCCCCCTCTCGCACCCGTACCTGCACACGGTCGGCGCGGCCGAGGACCGCGCCGCCGCCCTCGACATCGCGCGCGAGTCGGTGGTCCTCCTCAAGAACGAGCCGCCCCCCGCCGAGGACGAGGGCGGGTGGGAGGAGGGCGGGTGGGAGGCGCGCGCGCGCAGCCGGCGGCGGCTCGACGCTTCGGGTCCGCTGCTCCCTTTCTCGCGCTCGAACCCGCGGTACGGCGAGCGGCGAGCGCTTCGGCTGCTGGTGACGGGCCCGCTCTCCAACTCGCTCAAGGACCAGAGCGGCGGCTGGACGCTGCACTGGCAGGGGGCCGCGAGCGACGAGCCGCTGCGCGCGCAGGAGGGGGGGGAGAGTGTGAGAGTCGTACCCATCGGTGAGTGAATCCGAGGAGTTGATCGTGTGCGCGCAGGCGGGGGAGACGGTCGCAGAGGCTTTGGAGAGGCTCGCGCCGAACGGCACCGTCGTCAACCTGTGAACAGCGTCTCTTCACACCTCAAGCTGTGAATAGGCTCGCGCCGAACGGCACCGTCGTCAACCGCACCAGAGGATGCGTCGTCCGCTCGCCAGACGGACGGATCGGTGCGCCCCCCTCCCCCCCCCTCCCCCCTCCCCCCCCCCTCCCCTCCTTCCACGCCGCCCGCGACTGCGGCCCTCTCGCCCACACGCCTGCTCTCGCCCACGCCTGCTCTCATCCTCGCCTGCGCCCACCGCAGGCTCCTCCTCCTGCGAGCCTGCCTCCGCCGAAGACACCGCCGCGACCAGCAGCCTCGCCGCCGACGCGGACCTCGTCGTCCTCTGCCTTGGCGAGGAGGCGTACGCCGAGAAGTTCGGCGAGCCCTCTCCCTCTCCCCGCCGCGCCTCCGTGCAGGGCGTACACTCACCGCACCTGCTGGGAGCTCAGGCGACCTCGACGACCTCTCCCTCCCCCATGGACAGCGCGAGCTCGCCCGCCGCATCGCGGCGACCGGCGCACCCATCGCTCTCGTTCTGCTGCAGGGAAGGCCGCGCACGCTGCACGGCCTCGCCGACCGCACGCCCGCCGTGCTCGCCTCGTTCGTGCCCGGCCCTCAGGGCGGCACCGCGCTCGCCGAAGTCGTGTACGGCCTCACCAACCCGTCTGGCCGGCTGCCGCTCACCTACCCGCGCCACCAGGCGGTCCTGCTGCCTCACTTCCGGCGGGTGACGCAGCGCTGCATCTCCGGCCGCCCGCCGGGCAGGGGCCAGGCGGGCGGCGCCTACCTCGCGCCCGCGTCAGTCGAGTGCAGGCCCGAGTTTGCCTTTGGCGCGGGCGGGTCGTACACGAGTTTCGTCTACACGCAGGTCGAGGCCGCACTCTGCCGGTGCGGGGCACTGGTGCCACCGCCCCTCACTCCTCGGCACGAGTCGACCCTCCGCAGGTCGAGGCGTACCCCAACCAGCTCATCTACACGGGCACGCGGCCCCGCCGACCGATCCGCACACCTCCGTCGTCTACTCGCGCACTTGTCTCTTCTAGGCTCTCGGCCAGTCGACTTCCACACCTCGCTCGTCGTCACCAACACCGGGCAGCGGTCGGGCAGACACACCGTCCTCCTCTTCCTCGTGCGCCGCCACCAACGCCGCGCCGTTCCCGACGTGCAGTCCCTACTCGGCTTCGAGGAGGTGCCGAGACTCGCAGATGCCGCAGAGATGCCGCAGAGATGCCGCAGAGATGCCGCAGAGATGCCGCAGAGATGCCGCAGAGATGCCGCAGAGATGCCGCAGAGATGCCGCAGAGATGCCGCTGCTCGGTCTCGAGGAGGTGCGGCACACAGCCAATGGAGCTGCTACTCGACCGCGTCTCGGCCAGTCTCGGCTGCATCTCCGCGCCATCTCACCTCTCGCGCTGCACGGCGCTGCCAGGTGCGGCTAGAGCCGAAGGAGTCGCGGCACGTCACCTTCACCCTCTCCACGGACGACCTGACCTACGTCGACGTCCGGCTGCGACGCACCCTCGACTCGGACGTGTACACCCTGCGCGTCGGCACGCCCGGCGAGTGCGCAGCCTACCTCGCCGCCGCCGCAGCCGCTGGGCTGCGAGGCGAGTCAAACGACCCGCAGCAAGAGTGCCACGCCACGGTTCGCCTCTCTCCCCTCCCTCTCGCCGCCTCGCCTCCTCCCCTCGCGTGCGAGCCGTCGCGCGCGCACTCGTCTTACCCGCGCCCGCGCCTCCCCCAACCTCTCCACAGGTGACGGTCGCGGGTGGAGGCACGATCAAGACGCTGCCGCGCGTCGAGGAGGCGCCCACGCCCGCCCCCGCCGCGGTCGCACCCCGCCCTCGTGGGCGGCGACTCTTCACGCGGCTCGCCGCGAGTAGGAGCCGTTCCGCCTGCTGCACCGCTACCTCGAGCGAATCATCTCCCAGCCGCGCTTCGCCCTGCTGCGCGCCACCGCGCCGCTCGGAGCCGCCTTCCTGCTCGGCGTCGCCGCCGCGTACGCCGTCATGCGGCTGCGCCGCCTCTGCCGCAGGAAGCGAGGCCTCTCGCTCGCCGACGGCGAGGCGAAGATGCGGCTGCTCGCTGCGGGCGGAGGCGGGAACGGGTGCGGCGGCTGCGCCATGGGCGGCGGGGCGAGGCACGCGTCGCAGCCGGGGTGGGCGTTCCAGTACTCTGGCCACGGCCAGTACGACCCGCTCGACGACGTCGCGAGGGGGACCGGCCCGTCCCGCAGCAGTTCGGCCGCCTCGCTGCGGCTCGACCAGCTGCACCGCTCCAACCAGGACCTGCACGCCGCCTTCCGCCTCATCGAGCACCGGATGGCGTCGATGGAGGCCTCGTTCGTCTCCGGGGGCGGCGGGGGAGGCCGCGCCGTCTCGATGAGCAACATGGCCGGCGTCTTGGCCGGCGAGCGCGAGGGCGAGCGCGAGGGGTCGCCCCACGTCGACGACGCCGGCCGGCCGCAAGCGCGTTCGATGGGCGACTTGCACCCGGGCGGCAGCCCCGGGCCGCAGGCGCGCCTCGCCGCCTCTGGCAACAGCCTGTACACGATCCTGGCCGCCGAGGGCGAGGAGTCGGACAGCGCTTCCGCCTCGACGTCCGCCCAACCCTCGGCGCCAGTCTCGGGCGCCGCTTCGGAGGTGACCCTCTCGACGCTCCCCCAGCGCAGCTGGTGGGGCCGGCCGGCGGGGCCGGCGGGGTCGCCGCCGCTCGTATAGGACATATGCGGACACGATGTGGAGGCTAAATACGAAATAAATAAAAACGGAGGGGACACCTCTACTAGGAGATGGGTAAAAAGGAACAGCGATGAACAGGTCCCTGTCCTTGCGATCTTTGTGCAGGGTTCTTTGTGGGTGTGGTCGGCGACTACGGCTCTCGACTCTAGCCGGGGTCGTCGGTCCTCTCTCCCGTGTCCCGATGGGGGGACTAAAGCCGTGTAGGGACTAGCGCCTGACTAGCGCACTAGAGCCGTCTTCCACATGGTCCCTCGGCGCTCGGGTCCCTGCTGCTCCTAATCTCTTCGTACATCCTCCTGCTGATCTCCGCAACCGGTCCTGCTCCCTCCCTCGTCTCGCCCTGCGCGTCTGCTCTGCCTCCCCGTCGTCTGCCCTGCGTCGTCTGGCGGCGGGTCCTCCCCATAGACCATAGTCGGTTGAGGTCGCCGCCCTCCTCGTGCCTCTTCCCAACGTTCCCTCGGCGGCCGATGCCGTCTGCTCCGACTCCGCCCTCCCCGGGTCTGCCTGCTCTCGCCTGCGCTAGTTTCTGTTTCGTCATCACCGGCGTCTCTCCTCTTCATTCTCCCCTTCTTGTATGCTTTGTACATCGCGTCGATTCCTTTTCGCGTGAGCACCACCCTGAAGCCCGCCCAGCAGCTGAACCGCTCCGTAAGTCGAAGGAGCATCGTCAGTCTCACCCACTTCGCTCGCTGCCCACTGTCTCCGCTCCCTCCCGCTTGAGCCGCCGTCGCGGCCCTCGTTCGTCCCACTGGCTGTTGGCCCGTCCCTGCGTTGCCTCCGTTATCCCTCCTCCTCCGCGACTCCCTCAAGGCTGGCCGGGCCTCCTTCCACCCAGCGAAGAGCTTCCTCAGCCACTCGATGTGTTCCTCTTTCTTCATTATGCGCGCTGTAGCCTCATCATTGAGCTGGATCCACCTCTGCACCGCTCCCGTCGCCGCCTCGGCCACGACTTGCAAGTTCCTCGTGACCCCGGCGCCAAGGTCCCTCCGGCTCTTCTCCGAGAGGTCATCTACCAGTGCTGGCAACACCCCCCCGACTGCAGGGGACATGAAGGCTATGTGCGGGTCCTCGGCCCCCTGGTGCGGGAGGGTGGACTTTTCTCTGTCTTCTCGATCTCGTCTCACTCTTCTGAAGTGGGAAGAAAAAAATAGCGGGACATGCGGCCCAAGGAGGAAGCCGCCTTTTCAACGTCACAGATATACTGTACGCTCACTGTGCGGGTTTGGTATTGCTAAAAATCTCTCATCTCTCTCTCTCTCTCTCTGCGGGACAAACACTCGATGACCATGACTGTTGACTGTGTGCGCCACAAAAATCCGTTGCGTTGCTCTCTCTCTCTCTCTCCGTTGCGTGAAAGGAAAAGGGAAAACGTGATACTACAGGAAGGGTGAGTGCGCGCGAGCTCCGACACACAGCCGAACTCACAGCGCAAAGACATGGCGCGAAGCCCTTTTCTGTGAGCCGGGATTCCTCCCGGCGGGGGTTGTGGCGGAGAGCGGGCACATGGGAATCGCCGGCCCCCACCCCAAGCAAGCAAGTATCTCGGCATTGGGGCCGGCGGAAAACGGCCCTTGTTCTTGTTTCACAACTGAGAGAGAGAGAGAGAGAGAGAGAGAGAGAGAGAGAGAGAGAGAGAGAGAGAGAGAGAGAGAGAGAGAGAGAGAGAGAGAGAGAGAGAGAGAGAGAGAGAGAGACGCCGTCCGAGGTTTAACACCGGCGCTCGCCTTTGTGAACGCGCAATCCAATCCAAACCGGGGACAGCTTGTTGTGGCGAACATTGTTGTGGCGAACAGCCGCGATCCATGTTCGCGATCTCCTCCGCCTTCTCGCTCGGCCAGTGCGCCGCCAACCCCGAGCTCGTCTCCGGCACGTTCGGCCCTTACCCGGGCTACACGGGCGACTTGTCGGTCAGTGGCACAGTCTCCATGTACTCGGTCGGCACGACGCAGGCTCGCGCCGAGCCGTCATCCGCCCAGCTTCCCATTCAACTATCGCTGATCTCACAGCCCCACGCCACCCTGCCCACAGATTTTCACCTTCGACATGTCCGGCCTCGACACGGCCGGGGGGGCCTGCACCAACCCCGACTTTGCGACTCTCCCCGGCAACGCGTGCGGCATCCACATCCACGCGGGCACGACGTGCGACACCGCCGCCGATGTCGGGGGCCACTATTGGGTGTCCACCAAAGCGCCGCTGGACCCATGGTCCGACGGCGAAGTCGGCTACGTCGCGTTCTACAGCACGACCGACGGCACCGCCTCGGGCTCGTTCGCCGCCAAAACGGGCGCGACTACGAGCGACATTAAGGGCCGGGCCTTTATCGTCCATGGCGCAGACGGCGGGCGCATCGCGTGCGCGCTTATGGAGGCGTACTCTCCCCCCGGAGACGACGACGACGACGACGACGACGACGACTACGACGACGACGACTTCGGAACCGAGTAGAGGAGCGGGCTCCACGTGGTAGGAGGATATGGGGTGTGGTAGGGATGAGAGTGGTCTGACCAGCAAGTGTCCTGGTCGAGGCCCTCCGTAGTATCGCGAGGCGTCCCTCTCCCCTCGTTTGTAGAGGGGTCGTCATCTGGACCCAAAGGTTGGTGCCCAGCAAGTGTGAGTGGGGAGCCGCGTGCACGGCTCTGCGGTATTGCTGATCGCGGGTGAGGGCTGAGGCTGTAAAGCCATCCTCGATCCGGGTGCCGTCTCAGACGGCTGTAGGATTGGTATAAGGAACTCGTATCCGAGTGGTTTAAGGGAATGGTGTCGTACAACACCGGGCTCAGCCTCAGCGGGGTGACTGCTCAAGACTAGTTGCAAATATACGGGTGCTGTCATAATGACCACTTTTGATGTTTTTTTGTCCGTGTTGCTCCCAGCGCCCTCGCCCGCGCTCCCTGAGGCCATGGCTGGTGCTACTAGTATGGGGGGCTACCTGGCTACCGCGAGAGCGACCCAACTCGTCGACATCGTCCGATGATGGTGCCTCAAAGTCAGCCTCCGGAGGCTATCGTTGCGTCGAGCCGGCGGTGGCCGTGACATGTGGTTCCACCACCCCTCGCAGGCTTTGCCTCTGACCGCCACCGTTCCCAGGCTGCCTAATGGGATGGAAAGGAAGGCTCGGCGAGCGTATAGAAGCGTGCTCGACCTCGTCGTGGCAGCCTGCACGGCAGCGCTGGCAGGCGCGATGAGCGTCGTGCCACCTGACCCGAGACGGGTCGCAGGCGTCGTACCGAGCGCGTCGAGACTGTGTCCTGATGCGCTCTGCACGGGTGAGCCACGTCGGCGTCAAAGGAGCGACGTGTGACCTGTCAGAGCTTGATCTCCGATCTCAGCGACGTCGAGTCGCCTTCGGTGGCGACAGCTAGGATGCATCTCCTCCGTCGTTTTTCGCGCGATGGCCCTGAGAAGCTGGCGGTGCACGCAGGCGGACCTTGTGAGTGCACGGAACGCTTAAAAAGTGGGTGCTCTACGTCACTTTTTTTGAGTAGATAGTGCCGAGCTGGCCGTGACATCGTTTTTGGTACTCGTTGTCACATTTGGGCGACATTTGACGACGCCTCGAGAGTTGAGGGAGCTATTACGTGGCAATACTTGGGCGCCTGTTCGGCGCCCAAGGTGCCTAATATTAGGGGTCTGTCTGGGTGGCAAAGACGTGCCACTCTGCACAGGGTGTGGGAATATAGGGATATAGGTAGACTATTCATCACTGTGGGGGGGGGGGGGGAGCGAGTGATAATAGGGGTGCTGAGGTGGGGCTGGGTGGAGGTGATTCTCCGGGTCAGTCTGGAGGTCATTCTCCACCACCTCCTGCGACAATGGGGCTTTGACGCCATCTGCGTTCTGGCCCTTACTTTCCATCCACTCACTCACGCTCCTCTCAGCTTCGCTCGGCCATGGCTTCGCCCGGAGCAGGTGGTACGAGCGGGCGAGAGGATGCCTCACAGGGAGAAGGAGAGATAGATAGGCCAGTGGGGCCTCGTGCCGCAGCGTTGCGCCCGGAGGCGACTTTGCTCGAGCTCGCTCTACTGCCGCCGCCGAGCCCCCGCAGCGCCATGAGGTAGGAGCACGCGCGTGTCGCGGAGGCCTAACAGAGTAGAAGGATCTGACCTCGGGGCCGATGTGACCAAGCGCTGGTACTCCTTGCGTTAGCCCTCGGGGTTTCCTTTTGCCCTCGCTGTCTCGGTGCGAGTTGTTCCCCTTTGGGTTGGACCTCTTGTTGTTCCCCTTACAGCAGTGCCAGTAAGCGGTCCGCTCACTGCGGTTTCTCTTGCTGCCGGCTGTCCGCCGACAGGTGGAGCCTCGCGCCGGCATCGAGCCGACGCAGTCGGCGACAGTCCGTCGCCGCGCGCGGACCGCGCAGGAACCGGACCGGGCACGTCCGTGGAACCGGACGGAGGTTCTACGGCACGCAGGAAATATGCTCTCTCGCGCTGCTCGAGATTCCAAACTGCACCCCTACGCGGACCCGTGGGACGGCCAGCGGGGCCCGTTCTTCGAGCGCAATTGCTGAGCGGCCTCAGTGGCGTCACCGATGACTCCAAACTTGTCATCGGTGTCACATTTTTGACAGCCGACACGATCGGCACACGGATCTCTACACGCACGCACGCACGCACGCGTGGCTCGCGCGCGCGCCGATCACGCCCGATTTTAGCTTGATCCGTGTCGGAACAGTCGTGCAGGCATGAGCAGGCATGAGGCGGCGCGTTTACGTCAAGACGCCGACCTGGCCGTGAAGAGGCACTCGGAAGCCCTCGCACGGCGGCAGCAGGCGGAAATAGATGAAGAGTCAACAAGGAAGGAAATGTTCAGGGCTCGCGAGTTGGCTGCTCAAGCTGAAGCTGCTGCGCGAAAATCTCCGGGTGGAATATTTGGAGAGCCGTCGACACTTGGCGTCGAGATACTCGCGGGGATGCATGGCCAGTCTTCAGATGTCATTACGCTGGTGGCGATGTCATCAACCTGGTGGCGGCAGGCATGGGATTTCTTCAGCGTTGGGCCCCTACTGAGGATATGTCGCTCACCCTTGTGGCGGGCAGCAGTTCTTGCGGCAACGCAGGCTCATGTCAGGCCTGAAACACTGGTCCGCTGTCACATTGGTCAGCTCGTCGGGTTGATGCGTCTTGGATCAGCACAGCAAGCTTGCTGGGCGATACAGACGCTGATTTACTCACATCGATTCACATTTCCGCGCTCCTCATTCAGCGCTCATAGACCAACTCATCGCGTGTATGGATATGAATACGGATCGATGCAACATGCATTGAAGGCGGCCCACGGCGTCGCGCCATTATGGAAGTGGCTTCGTGCAGCAGTGGATGACAAATCCCTGCAGTCCGCAGCAGGTCTTCGCTACGCAGCGGCTCGCTTGCTGCTGCTTCTTCTCATTGGCTCCCAGGACGCCGACGAGCGAGACGAGATCACTAGTATGGGTGGCGATGGAGCGGTCAAGCTCGTGAACGAGTATGGCAGGCGGATTGATCTGCCGTTGCCGCCGACGCTCGCCAGACCCGATACACATGAGATGCTTCCTTTTGGAGAAGACCGGCACGCCTCCGAGCTCCTCTGGCCGACGATGCGTCTGAGCGCCCATGAGGTGTTTGGCTTACCCGACGACGCACGGATGTACGTCTATCTAAATGGCGAGCCTGTGAACAAGAATCAAAACCCCCAAGGCCCTATGGCCATACAATTCGCAGTCGAATGGACCCCCGACCTCGCCGATGACGATTATCGAACAGAGTTGGCCGGTTGGCGGGTGAAGCTGCCCAGTGACGAGAAGTGCAAGGCGCTCAGCTTTGCTCGGAAAAGCGCGCGCCTTCGGAAAGCGGAATGAGTCGACCGTTGTACAAAAGTAGTGTACTCGTATTGGCATCGAGTGTGCTTGCGTGCGTATTGTACCGCGTGGCCACCGCCCACCTCTCTGAGGCGTGGCACCGCTAGTCGGACGGTTTTTTTGCGGTATCTTGATGTATCTCTCCAATATCTGACTGTATCTGCCCGTATCTGCTTGCATCTCCTCGCAACTCCCCGTATCTGCCCGTATCTGCCCGTATCTCCCCGTATCTGCCCGCCAATATCCCGCCATATCCCGCCATATCCCGCCACATCCCGCCATATCCCGCCGCGGATACCGCGAAAAAAACCGTCCACACCAGGGATACCGCTCGTCAGAGGTGTCCCAGTGGGGTGTCCTGGTGCGTGTGCGTTTTCGCGATCTGTTCGCTTGACTGACTGACTGACGTATTGGCGTGGTCACAGGCGAGAGCACGTGTCACCCTCACGCGAAAACAGCGAACGAACGGCTTCGGTAATGCGCGCGCGACGCCGCGAGCCCGGTCCCCGCGGGGGTGCGATGTGTTGTGGGGTAATATCTAATAACGGTCCATGCGAGCTACCAGCTTTTCCCGAGATCGTCTAGACAGAGACACCTAAATATACGAGCGAGTGAGTAGCGACGTGCGGCGCAACAGAGTGAGATATTCCTAATAGGTCACATGGTATGAGGGGCCGCGGTTGCGCGGGCGGCCTATAAGCGAGAGAGCGCTCGAGAGAGCGCGCTCGAGGGTTCGGACACTGATCTCCAGCCACCTCTCAACAGAGGCGCATACGGGAGCGTGGCGACAGAGACAAGACACGGGGAGGTCTGTCTGAGTCTGTCTGAGTGAGGGTCATGGGATACTCGTTCGTTCGATTGATTGTTCGTCTAAGTGCAAAGTGGGGTGGGCGGGGCTGGTGAATGAGCTCGTTATGACCCCCCCCAGTGAACACTCCAGTGAGGGAGGGCGAGACGATCGAGGGGTCCCGTAGCACGCGGAATCGACCCTATCCACTCAAGTGCTAAGCCAGCTCAAATTCCCAACATGGATCGTGTAAATTCTTTGCGAAAGGCGGCTCGGCCCGCGCATGACCAGGTTCCGCGAAGGCCAGCCCTACGACTCGCCGCCCGCCTATTCCGGCAAGATCGACCTGGATGGCATCTGGAACGTGCCGCTCGCGCAGATCGAGCGGGACCGCCCGCCGACCTGGTGCTCAGCCGACGAGGCGCCGCTCTCGCGCGCCTGTTGGCACTGGCTCTCTGAGCCGCTTGGGCCTCGCCGCGCAGGTACTTTGCCATTGGATCGATGCCTGGCACCTTCGTTCTGGAGCCCGGTGGCTGCGGCAAGGGCGGCAAGGTAACTGACCCGACGCTCGTGTTTACGCTGCAGCTCTCAGTGCGGGTCTGCTGCTGCTCGTGGGAGATGGGTGCGCACTCCCCTCGCGCCTACCCCCCAGATCTCCTCCGCACCGCCTGCAGCCGCGTGGCCGCGCTGTCGCAGGGGAGACGCACATATTGGCGCCGTCGCCGGACGACGCGGAGAACACCTGGAGGAAGGAGCTCGGTGGCGGCCGCCACCAGGCGGGCTGGCAGACCTCGCTCCGTGGCTGGGGGCTGCGAACCGACGCCGCCTGGTCCCGTCCCTCGCCCTCACGCAGGTGCTCAAGTTCGTGAGCGAGCGCCAGGTGCTGATGGAGTGGTGGAGTGCCGACGGCACCATCGAGTGGACGCGGACGTGGTCGCACCTAGGAGGCTGAAAAGGGGGGCGTGCCCTGAGTAGGTAGAGGCGAGACGAGCGGGGATAGAGCCGACACTCGAGGCCGACGGGTAACTCTCGACCCTCGAGTCACAAGGCCTTAGGGGAGAGAAATTTTTCGGCTCGCTCAGCGAGCGCGCGTATGGCGTACGGCTCTCTCTGTCTCATGTAGAGGCTAGAGCAGGGCGGGACAGGAGGCCGCGTTGGCCGCTGCCGCCGTCGGCGCCCGCAGATTTTTTCTCTTGTCAATATTACCATGTGTCATCCTGCTTTTCTCTTGCCAATATTAAAGTACATTGCAGGCGGTAGGATGCCGCCCATTGTGCCGGCACATGGGCGAAGGCTTGCCCGAAGGCGAGCTCCGAGACCGAGACTCGCACAACACGGCTCGACGAGGCGCCCACACGCCTGGCACCGATGGCGCCCAGCGCGCCGCCGCGCCACCGCGCCGCCACGGCGAACGGCCAACACTGCTCCCTGGGCGCACAACTCAACCGCCGCGCGCGCACCTCGTGTCTGCTCGAGCGGCTCCAACCCCCCCCCCCCCCTCCTCTCTGCCATGTGCCTGCGACAGGGCCTGGGCCGGGAGTAGCTAGCTGCTGCCGGGAGGAGCTAGCTGCGGGAGGGCCGCATGCGCAGCTCCGCGAGCTGCAGCGCCGAGTTGATGACGCCGAAGCACGCCTGGGGGCGAGGGAGCAAGCTGCGGGCGTCTGGCGCGGGCGGCGGCGGGCGAGTCCGGGGTCGGTCCGAAGTGCCGCCCTGGCGCCGCTCTGGCGACAACTGGGCGTCTAGGCGGTATGTGTACGGAGGCGTGCGGTGGCATCCTGGAAGACGGGCAGCCTCCTCGTCGGCGCGTCGGAGTACCTCGCGTGCGGCGCGTTTGCGATGTAGATTGGGTAGAGGACCTGCGGGACGTGTCGCGGGCGTGTCGCGGACGTGTCGCGGTCGCGGTCGTGTCGCGGGCGAGTCGTGGACGTGTCGCGGTCGCGTCGCGGGCGTGTCGCGTGGGCTGGGAGGGGCTATCCGCAGTAGCGGTGGTGGGGCGTGGCACCGCGCGCAGCACAAAGAGGTCCCAGAAGCGAAGCCCGGCCGACAGGGCGGCGAGCACGCCTCCGTACCTGCCGGCGGGGAGAGCTGTGCTGCAGGGGCGTCGGGGCGGGCCGGCACGCGTCTCGGAGAGCTACCCGACAAAGAAGGTCCAGTGCGACTCGATCAGGCGGAAGCGGGAGGCGACGCCGCGGTGCGTGCTCGCCCAGTGCATCTCGAAGGAGTCGTAGGCGTGCAGCAGCGCCTGCGAACCGCTCGGAAGACCAGTCGCGGACACGTCCCGGACACGTCCCGAGCACGCCGTGGCGGGAAGAGCAGCATCACCCACCGCTGCATCTCGGCTGCATCTCAGCCGCATCTCGGCTGCATCTCGGCCGCATCTCGGCTGCATCTCGGCTGCATCTCGGCTGCATCTCGGCTGCATCTCGGCTGCATCTCGGCAGCATCTCGGCAGCATCTCGGCTACATCTCGCCGAGAGGAGGAGCATCACCGACCGACCAAGGAGCGGGAGCGAGTAGATTAGCTTCACCTGCAGCAGGAAGCAGCAGGAAGGGCACGTCACCAGCCATTAGTGCATCATCCACTGCTATTGAAGCGTTGACTCGCCTGCAGCAGGAAGGCCACATACACCAGCCGGCCGTACACGAGCGAGAGCGCCTGCAGGGAGAGGGCCAGGACATGTCTCGGACATGTCCCTCAACAGCCAGGCCGTGCAAGAACGCGAGAGCGCCCCCTCCGCCCCGCCGCCGCCGCCCGCCGCAGCGCCGCCCGCCGCAGCGCCGCTGCCCTGTGCCGCCGCCTCTGCGGGCGAAGCGGCGGCCTCTGCGCGGCTCGCGAGCGCGCGGTGCATCTCGTAGTGCCACGAGGTGGAGACCACCTGCGGGGAGATGCGGCCGAGGTGCAGCCGAGGTGCAGCCGAGGTGCAGCCGAGGTGCAGCCGAGGTGCAGCCGAGATGTGCCGTGGTTGCCGGGAGGACCTCACCGGTAGGCTAGACCTCGGCTAGACCTCGGCTAGACCTCGGCTAACTCTCGGCGTATCTCCCGGCGAGACCTCGCAGACGAGGTAGGCGGGAAGCGACCAGAGCAGCAGGACCGCCCACTCGTACCAGCCGTACCTGTCGCCGCAGCAAGCCAGCTGAGAAGGACGTGTCCCGGACGTGTCCGAGCCGTGTCCCCAGCCACCTCGGGTCGGTCGCCAGGTCGACCCCGAGCAGCGCCTCGACGGCGGCGGGCAGCGCTGCCTCATACACGAAGAGCGCGCCTCGGTAGAGGCACGCGTTGAGCAGCAGGCAGCGGAAGGTGCACTGCCGCGAAGCTGGCTCGAGCAGCGCGTGCCTGCGGCGCCGCAGCGTGGGGGCGCGTCATGCACGCGCGGCGCGCCACCCGGGCGCAACGCCGGAGCGAGGCTCGCCTCGTGGCCAGCCGCGGCTGGTCCGCTAGATCTCGGCGAGATCTCGGCGAGATGGCTAGATCTCGGCTAGATCTCGGCGAGATCTCGGCGAGATCTCGCCTCGCAACTAGCCGCGGGTGGTTTGCAGCGCACGCGCCCTGCAGCACGTGCGCCACCGCCGTGCCGCTCCACACCACCGCCAGAACGAGCAGCCGCAAGCAGGCGGCGACCAGCCACACCGGGCCCCACAGCGCCGCCTACCCTCCGAACAACGCACGCTCGAGCAGCGTGCGCGGGGCGGGGCGGCCCCTACCAGCGCCCCGCGCCTCCCCGCCCGCCGCCTCGCCGCCCGCCGCCTCCTCACTGAAGCTGAGAGGCGACTGGGGCGACGGCGGCTCGCCCTCCGCCTCGCCGCCCTCCGCCTCGCCGCCGAGCGGGCCGCCAGCCGAGTGCAGCCTGACCGCTTGCAGCCTCACCGCCAGCGGAGGAGGCACCGGTCGGGGCTGCGGCTCGCCCTGCGGCCCGCCATCGGCTGCGTCGCTGTCGGCCTCCGCCGCAGCGCCGCTCGCCCTGGCTGGGTCCGACCTACGCGACATGCCTCGGACATGTCCCGGGACATGTCCTGGACGCCCTCTCGCCTCCCGCTCGCTCTGGCGCGGCCACGCCTCCCGCCGCCGCGCCGCCGCAGGCTGAGCCCTCCCTGCCCGCCTCCCTGCCCGCCTCCCTGCCCGCCTCCCTGCCCGCCTCCCTGCCCGCCTCCCTGCCCGCCGCCCCGGCTGCCTCCGGCGCGACCCGCCCCGCCGGCCTCGCCGCCGCACCTCGCCGCGCCGCCCACCGCCTCCCTCGAACTCCAACCCTCCCCGCCCTCCCCGCCGCCCTCCCCGCCGCCCTCGCCGCCGCCCTCGCCGCCGCCCTCGCCGCCGCCCTCGCCGCCGCCGGGCTCGCTCGAGGGCCCACCGCCCAGCTCGCCGCCTCTGGCGAGAGCCTCTCCGGCCTCCGCACCCCCCTCCCCGCCGCCGCCTCCCCTCCCTCCTGCTGCCCGCCTCACGCCAGCCGCAGAGCCGGTGCTCGCCGCAAGAGCTCCCTCCGCCTCTGCCGTGGCTGTCGCGGTGTGCGACGCGCCCTCTGCTGCGGCCGGCTCCGCCCTACCGCCCGGAGGCGGCCGCTGGCCGGCTGCTGGGCTGCGAGGAGGCAGGTTCCAGATGCGTCTGTACTCCTCGTCCTCCTCGTCGACTGGCTCGCCGGCGCGAAAGTAGGCGCCGCTACCGGCGTAGGCTGAGGTCCCGTCTCCGGACCCCACCTCGGCCAGGTGGCGTCTCTCCTCCTTGACCGCCACGACGTCCCACCCATCCGGTCCCTCCTCCTCCTCCACCACGATGCCGCCGACGCCTCGCGGTGGCAGCGGTGGCGGAGAGTCGGACGAGGGCGCGAAGCGCTTGGCGCGACGGCCCACGGTGGTGCGCGCCTCGCGCCACACGGTGTCCCACCAGCTAGCCATCGCCCACTGCGGCCGCGTCGACCTCTTCGGTGGCGATTTGAGAGCGACGGCGTCTCTATATACTCGCACAGGGCCGCGACTTGCGATCGTCCGGCAAGTCGCCAAAGGGCGCGCGAAGAAGAAAAAGCTACCACAAGCTCCACGGGACTGCGCCCCCGGGACGTCGGAGAGATCGGGTTGGCCTCCCCCGCCTCAGCCCTGACCCGACGGGGACGCCACCACCCTCGCGGGATCTATGCTGTCTTAAGGTCCGACAGGTTCGGCACCGGGCACCGCCTCGGTATACAAAATGCGCCTGCGGGCGGACCCTTACAGATCACAGATCACAGATCACGACCAACGGGCCCCCGGGGGCGCGGACGACTGTCAGAAACAAGAACTCCGCAAGAGAGAGCCCCTGATGCCAAGATGGCGACAGTCCTCCCGTACAGACGCGGAAGCCACCGACAGCCTACTGCAGATATCGCCCGCAGCCGTCGCCCTCCTGCCGCCGCCGCTGCTCCCGCTTCTCACGCTGACGCTTCTCGGGGCGCTGCTCCTCCTTTCCCACCGCTGCCGCCGCCGCCGCACCGCGGCTCGGCTGGTCGTCTTCCACGACGGCGAGAACTGCTACCTTTCCAATGCGCGTGACCTCGACGCCGGGCGGCTGGTGAAGCGGACAGTCGAGCGCATCACAGCCGTGTGCGGCCTCCGTGGTCCGCCGAGCGTCGTGGATTGGCTGATGTTCCTCCCCAAGAACGAGCCCGAGCGAATCCGCCACCACCCGACCGACGCCGCGGTCGAGGCCTTGCTCAACGCAGGCGTCACCTATGTGCGCGTCGGCTCCAAGTCCGGCGCCGTCGACACGGCGCTCAAGGACGCCGTCGCTCGCTTTTCGAGGCGCGAGCGGGCGCTCGCGGGGTCGACCCTGGTCGCCATCCTGTCTGGCGACCGCGACTTTGCGGGCGACCTTCGCGCCCTGCGCGGCGAGGGCTTCGCCACCGCCCTCGTGAGTCCGCCAGCCCGCACCTCTAGCCTCCTGCCCCTCGAAAGATCTCGCAACCTGCGAGCCGACCGGCCCACTCGCGAGGACGCCTGCTGCAGACCTTGCCAAACCCCACCCCAACCCCACGCCTCCTCCAGGTGCACCAGCGGCGGGTCGCGGTCTCGCGCGGCGTCGCGCAGAACGCAGACTTCGTCCTGCCCGAGTGAGGGGCTCGTCCGAGCCGGCGGGAGGCGGAGCCCTGCTCCGCGAAACCTGTCTCTGAGGCTGTCCCGTAGGTGGGACTCGCTCGTTGAGGCGGCGGGAGGACGCGTCGACACCGCGCGACCCTCGCCCGGACCTTCGCCCGGCTCCGCGTCGCGCCCGGTCCCCAGCGGTAAGGGAGCCAGCGCCAGGAGGCGAGGCAAGAGGCCGCCCGCTTCCCCAGCCAGCCGCGAGGGAGAGTCTTGCGGCGGCGAGGGTTGCACAGAGGCTGGCCCGCCGCCGCCGACCCCACCGGGGAAGAAGCCAGCCACGCCGCCGAGGCCCTCCGCCGACGCCGTCCCCGTCGACTCGCTCGCCCGGAAGCTTCACGCGGAGCGGTTCGTCCTGCCTGCGGCGCGGGCGGCAGCCGACAGCGAGTCGGTCCGGGTCGGTCGCTTCCGCAGAGCGGCGGACGGGTGCGCGCTCCCCGTCGAGGGCCATGGTGGTCCAGATCAGGCGAGGTCAGGCGAGGCGTGCCGACGCTTAGGTACGAGCTACTCGTCGAGCCGCGAGGGGCGAGGCGCGATTTGGAGCGGCGCGCGGCGGAGCGGGTGCGGCAGCAGCTGCGGCTGGAGTTCTCCCTCGTGGCGTGCGAGACGGTCCGGTTGCCGGGCGTGGGGGAGGCGCGGGTGCGAGAGCTGCGACCGCTGGCGAGTCGGCACAGCGTCTTCCTCTTCGTCGCCCCGCACAGCGCCGCCAGAGCGGCGGGCGGCGTTGCGCAAGGCGTGCGGAGAGGCACGGTTGCGGCGGAGGCGGGAGGGAGGGGGAGGGAGGCGGTGAGCGAGGCTTGCGTGGTCGAGCTGCTCGGAGCGGCAGCAAGCGTCGCCCTCGTGCGCCCTCACGTGCTGGCGCTGGCGGAGCCCGCGCCGAGGCCGCCCGGGCCGCTCGCGTGCATGCTCGCCGTGCAGGGCTGGTTCTGCGGCGAGCCGAGTGGTACGTGAGTGAGCTGTGAGCTGCGTGACAGGATCGGCCCGCAGGCAGATTTGGTATCCCGAGGCGGTCCCGGCGCCAATCGTGAGACCTTTTGAGACAGCCTTGTATGTCCCCGGGCGAGAAGAGGGTGTCGGTGTGTGATCTGGCTGATGCGGCGGAATCCGGAAAAAACAAGTGCCGCGTGCGCGCGCTGCCGCCGGGCGCTGGCGCTGCCGGGGCGCGACGCGCGTCACTCAAAATGTTCGAGGGCTTCCCCTCGAACACGCTGGTTCGAATTGGAGTGTGCGGTTATTACTTATTTGCCTCACAACCGGGGCGCCGAAGCCCCATACATTAGCACTCGCTCCCCACTTGCCGACCGTGTGGTCTCGCCTCTCGCGATGTGACGAGCCCCCCCTCTCCCCGCGAAGCCGCATGTACCATGCATCACCCCCCTCTCTAATAGGGGGAATCAGAATGCAGGAGGCCGGCGTCGGGCGCGGGTAGTGGCATCGCGCGAGCTGCGGCGCTCCACCTCGGCGAACCACGCCTGCTGGGCCATGTCGTGCTCCGGCGCGCGGCGCGGCAGCGGCTGCTCGCCCGGCCGCGCCTGCGCGCGGGCAGTCGCGTCGCGCGAGTGGCGGCGCTCGACCTCCGACCGCCACGCCTCCTTGGCTCCGTCCCTCGTCCGGCCGCCCTCGTGGCGCGGCTCCTCTGAGAGCCGGCCCTGCGCGCGGGCGTCCGCGTCGCGGGAGTGCCGCCGAGCAACCTCCGACCGCCACGCCTCGTGCTCGGCGGGCAGCGCGGCGCTGCGCGACCGCTCGGCGGCAGGCCGGTCGCGGGCGCGGGCGAGCGCGTCGTGCCCGCCGCGGCGCTCGTTCTCGGCGAGCCACTGTACCTTGGTGTCAGCCTCGGCCACGGGCGGCGGCGGCGGCGAGAGCTCGAGGGAGGCGCGCGAGAAGGCGTCGCGGCGCTGGCGCCGGTTCACCTCCGCCTGCCACACCGCCCTCGCCTCCGCCGCCTGGTGCGCGGCGGCAACCTCCGTCCTCGCCGCCGCCATCCGCGCCGCCGCCGCCGCCGCCGCCGCGTCGCCGCCGTTTGCGCCCACGGAGCCCGCCCCGTCCCTCGTCTGCCCGTCCGCCGACCACGCCGTCCCGTCGCTCCATCTAGCGCGGCCACGGGTGGCGCTGGAGGCGTGCCGACCACCCAGAGGCAGGCTGGCCTCGCCCGTCCCGTCGCTCCACTTGGCGCTGCCGCGGCCACGGCTGGCGCCGGCGCCACGGCTGACACGGTCCCCGCCGCCGAGGCCGTTGCCGTCGCTGCCGCCGAGCCGGACGGCACCGTGGATGCTGGACTCGCTCGTAGCCAGACCGTCGGTCGACCAGGCCGTGCCGCCGCTCCACTTAGCGTACTGCCCCGCGGCGCCGCGTCCGGCCGACTGTCCGCGTCCGGTCTGTGGGCGTGTCGAGTCCATTGGCGAAGCTCCCCGCTGAGAAGACCGCCACGCCGCCCTGGCCGCCGCCTCGGGCTGAGTCGGCACCACGTTGCCCGCCATCGCAGGAGCGACCACCGGCGATGCGGCGGGAGGCGCAGCGGGCGAACGTGCAAAGACGGGAGGCGGGGGCGCGGCGACGGCTGGAGGCATTTGCATCGCGGCGCGAGGTGGCGCGGCGGGAGCAGCTTGGTGCGGCAGCGGCCGTGGCGTCACCGACGGCGGCATCGGTGGCGGCGGTAGTGGCCGCGGCGTCATTGGCGGTGTCGGCATCGACAGGGGTTGCACGGGTGCGGGAGCGGGCGCGAAGACCTGGGGGGGTGGAGGCGCTTGCACCGCGGCCCGAGGCGGCGCGGGATGCGGCGTGCCAGGAGTAGCCTGGCGCGGGGTCATCGGTGGCGCCGCGGCGAATGGCGGCGGCAGCGGCGGCCGCGCCATCGCAGGAGCTGGGACGACCGGCGGCGGCAGCGTCGATGGCGGCATGAATGGCGGCGGCAGCGGCGGCCGCGCCATCGCAGGAGCTGGGACGACCGGCGGCGGCAGCGTCGGCGGCGGCAGCGGCGGCCGCGCCATCGCAGGAGCTGGGACGACCGGCGGCGGCAGCGTCGATGGCGGCATGAATGGCGGCGGCAGCGGCGGCCGCGCCATCGCAGGAGCTGGGACGACCGGCGGCGGCAGCGTCGGTGGCGGCATGAATGGCGGCGGCAGCGTCGGCCGCGCCATCGCAGGAGCTGGGACGACCGGCGGCGGCAGCGTCGGTGGCGGCATGAATGGCGGCGGCAGCGTCGGCCGCGCCATCGCAGGAGCTGGGACGACCGGCGGCGGCAGCGTCGGTGGCGGCATGAATGGCGGCGGCAGCGGCGGCCGCGCCATCGCAGGAGCTGGGACGACCGGCGGCGGCAGCGTCGGTGGCGGCAGCGTCGGCCGCGCCATCGCAGGAGCTGGGACGACCGGCGGCGGCAGCGTCGATGGCGGCATGAATGGCGGCGGCAGCGGCGGCCGCGCCATCGCAGGAGCTGGGACGACCGGCGGCGGCAGCGTCGATGGCGGCATGAATGGCGGCGGCAGCGTCGGCCGCGCCATCGCAGGAGGTGGGACGACTGGCGGCGGCAGCGGCGGCCGCGCCATCGCCGCCGGACTGGTCCTTGGCGCCTCCGCCTCCGCCTTGTGCTTGGCAAGCCACACCGCCTTGGCTGCCCCCGCCTGCGACGCCGCCGGCGACGCGCCGCCCGCTGCAGGGGCTGTGGGCAGAGGCGCAGAGACAGGCCGTGGTGGCGCGTCGAGGGGAGGAGGCACTTGCACTGCGGTGCGCGGCGGCGCGGTGAGGACGGCTTGGTAGACGTCCCCGTGCGCACCCATCTGCGGTATTGGAGCTTGCGGGGGCGCCCACGGCGTGGCTCCCGGAGACCACAACGGAGCGTTCGGCATCGGTGCAGCCGCATCTCTCGTTGCGAGTGGCTCCGCCCAGGCGTCGTGAGCCTGGTCCTCTCGCCGCGATGGCACGCGCTGCAGCTGCAGCGCAGTCGTAATGAGGGCGGGCACCGCAACCACAGTGGTGAGCGCCAGTTCGGGGAGGATCATCGCCGGCTCGCGCACCAGCCGTTCAGCGCGAGCGGGGCGCGCGGCGCGCGGGCGGGGGCGAGCCCCTGGGCCGCAGATGAAGGAGGCCGAACCGACAGTCAGGAGCAGCATCACGGAAACGTGCGGCAGCGGCCGCGAGCCCAGGTCTGGAAGGACGCCAGTCTTGAGGGTCTCTTTGATGTCGTCGACGCTGTCTCGTCCACGAGATCCTTCGAAAGCTTTTTCTGAAGTTTGCTGTGAATAGCGCGCTGGCTTCTGACTGTCGTTGCTGTCTCTCGACTGTTATGCTTGTGCGTCTTGGGTCCTTGTGTTTTTGTGTGAATAGAGCTGGCATTCGCCTTCCTGGGACCCAGTCAGTGCTGTCGTTGCTGTTTCTCGAGAGCAGCCTGTGCTTGTGCATCTACTTGTGTTTACCAACTAGACTCTCAACATCTCGACTCAACATCCAACAAAAAGGAGAAAGAAAGAAAGAAAACAGACAACCCAAGGGAGGGATGGGAGGACGTAACAAAAAGGAGGTAACGGGCTGGAGCTTCTCCCGTGACGAACGCGAACGGAGCATCCGAAACCCGCAAAAAGCTCGCGGCGCCGCGTTTTTGCGGCAAAGCGCGCTCTACATGTCCACGCTATGGCGGCAGAGCGCGCTGCTCGGCGTGATGCTGTCGCCGGCAGCAACTCATCCTCCCGGAGGCGGTGGCGTGTCTCTCGCGGTGGCTCCTCCCTTCACCTGGTTGGGTCGCATCGAGGGCCGACCGGCAGGGCGCGGGGAGTGTGACAAGCTTTGCGACACCGAGGGTGTGCGAGAACCGCAGCAGCCTCCGTGGAGGCGCATCTGGTCCAGGCTGCGCGCCGCTGCGCACCGACACAACGGTCGCACCTCGCCGCTAGCGGCCTCCTGCCTCGAGACGCCCCTGTCGCCTCCGCCGCCGCCCCCGCCGCCACCTCCACCAGCTGCAGAAGAAATGGTGTCAGCCTCGCCGAGCATCTCGCTCAGATCTGCCCTCCTTGCCTTCACCGTGTGCTGTCTCTTTGGCGAGCGCCATGTGAAGGCGCTGCAAGGCAAGACAAGGGCGCCTCCCTCCTCATTGCCGAGCACACCCAGCATGTGCAGCCCAAACCCGTGGAGCCCTAGCTGGGTGGCGCCGCCGATTCGGACGAGCCCGCTGTCGCGGTCTGATGGGGCGGTCGGCTTTGGGTACGGGACTAAAAGCGTGTAAGCCGAGCACGAGTGGCTCAGAAGTCACTGTCACTTGCATGAGAGTTGAGAGACGTCGACGTGAGAGCCGCAAAATAATGGCGTAAAATCCGAATGGCCCCATTGGCATTGGCCCATTGCACTTCGTGCCAATGCGATATGCGTTCCAGTGCATCCATGTGCGGGCCCTCGCCAAGGGCCAAGAGTACTCTCTCCGGTGAAAAAGAGCCCCTCAGCGCTCAGGAGACGCCCAGGGTCTGCTAGTTTCTTTTTTTCTCAAAATCTGCTAGAAAATCTGCTATTCTCCGTGTCGAGATTCGCGTCGGGTGGACAGGAGGTGGAGCGCGAGAGGACCCGCGTCCGTCAACTCTCGGACTCGCACTCGGTGAAGGCTTGAGACCGCTCTCATCTCTCCACCATAAAATGAACAATACGCATGTGAGCCTGTGCACTCCCGACCGCGCGCCCTCACCCTGGCGGCCATTCCAGCGGCCTGCCGCCAATGAGGTGCAGGTGCAGGTGGAAGACCGACTGGCCTGCGCCCTCTCCGTTGTTCGTGACGAGGCGGAACTCGCTGAGGCCCTCCTGCTTGGCGATGGCTGCAGCAGCAACCATCAGGTGGCCGAGAATCGCCGAGTGCTCGGCAGTCGCGGCGCCCAGGCCGGTGAGTCCGTCTCGGTGCTTTGGTATGATGAGGATGTGCGCCGGGGCCACGGGGTTGATGTCCCGGAAGGCGAGGCAGAGCGCGTCCTCGAAGACGACCTCGCTCGGTATCTCCTTGGAGAGGATCTTGTCGAAGAGGGTGGCTGGGGCGACGTCACGAGCGCCCGCGTAAAGCATAGCGTCCCACCGGCCTCGCTCCTCCCACGGCTGCAGGCCGGACCGGATCTCGTCCGCCACCCGCTTCGCCGCCTCGTCGGCGTTGCTCGTGTGCGACCACCACGCCGACAGCCGCGGTCCTAGTCGCGGCCCCGCCTCGCCGGCCGGGCTGGCAACCGCGTCTTCAAACTTGGGCAGCATGTGCGTTATGAAGACCATCGTCGGGAAGAGCGTCGCGTCGGCTAGGCTGAACTCCTCGCCCGCGAGGTACGGGCCGGTGGGGTCGGCCAGGGCCTCCGCGACTGCCAGCTGCTTGACGAGCTCTTGGAGCGCATCGCGGCGGCTGGTGAAGCGGCCGAAGGGCGGCGCGGGCTTGTACAGGCAGCCCTGTATCGGTCCGATGTATGTGTCATGGTGACGCACGATCACCTCCGCCGCAGTGCGTGCCGCGAGGCTCGTTGGAAAGAGGCTGGGACCGTCGCCCTCCGCAGCGTGCTTCTCGAGAAGGTGGCGGCAGATCGCGTCGGTCTCCCAAACGCACGAGTCGCCATCTACGAGCAGCGGCATCTTGCCCTGCGGGTTGAGCGAGAGATATTTCTCGCCGCGGAGGCCACCAAGCTCCATCGGCGAGGCCACTCGAACGGCAGACTCCAGGCCACGCTTGTAGAGGAGGAGGCGCACACGTGCGCCGTGGTTCGAGACTGGGAGGTCGTACAATGTGGTGGGGAGCGAGAGCGTGCCGGCGAGGATGGAGATGATTAGCGCCATTACGCTTGGTTTGTGGTGCTCAACTCTGCGTGTTCTCCTGCGCCGCGATCTCGACAAGGCGGCCCTGAGCTCGCAACCGAAAAGATGGCGGCGAGTTCGAGGCACAGATCGTCCGATCTCCCATCCCTCCCTTGGGTTGTCTGTTTTCTTTCTTTCTTTCTTTCGTCCGATTGGAGCTCGACCAAGGCGCCTGGAGCGACCGCGGTCCGGTCGCGCCACCGCGGCTGCGGGGCTGATAGAGCAGGCCGGCTGCGGCTCCTAATGTACCTCCGCTTTTGGGTGGCGGTCGCGCGCTGCCGACGGCGCTCGCCGGCGCTTGCGGCGCACGGCGCTCGCGGCGCGCTCGTGGCGTTCAGGGCGGCTCCACACGCACACACACACACACACACACACACACACACACACACACACACACACACACACACACACACACACATGCACATGCACATGCACAGACACACAGCCCCTTCCCCTCCCCCCTCTGTCGTGGGGATTGGAGTGGTCTGACCAGCAAGAAGACGGGTCGAGGCCCTCCGTAGGCTCGTGAGGCGTCCCTCGTCCCCCTTCTGCAGAGGGATGGTCATCTGAACCCGAAGATCGGTGCCCAGCAAGTGTGAGTGGTGAGCCGCGTGCACGGCTCTGCGGCATTGCTGACCGCTGGTGAGGTTGTAAAGCCATCCTCAATCCGAGGCTGACATATATGTAGAAGGTATTCAAGGTACGAAGGTGTGGTGTCACACCGGTGGGGGGAAAGGCGCCAGCTGCGCCAAGTTGTGGTGTCACAACAGTAAAGAGGTCGACTGTCTCGCGGCGCGGCGGCCCCACGAGAAGCAGTCAGAGACTATTACGTGCCAATGTTTGGGCGCCTGTTCGGCGCCCGACGGAGGTGCCAATATTAGGGGTCTGGGTGGCGTGACGTGCCACTGCACAGGGTGTGGGAATATAGGGATATAGGTAGACTATTCGTCACTGTGGGGGGGGAGAGTGTGATAACAGGGGTGTTGAGTTGGGGCTGGTGGAGGTGATTCTCCGGGTCAGTCTGGAGGTCATTCTCCACCACCTCCTGCGACACCCTCAAGGGCGAGGACACGCACAGGCCGCACCTCTAGTGAGGCCCGCATAGTATGTGGGAGACTCGTGCCGCCGCCCCTGCCACCCCTGTGTCAGTGTGCCTGTGGTAGGAGAGACTGCCAGCGACAAGCTGGAGGCAGGTCGCTAGACTGAGATGAGACCGCCAGTGGATGTGGGAGTCCACCGCGCACCGCGCTGCGAGCCTGTCGTGTCCCTTGTCAGGAGCAGGAGAGCCCCACCTGTCCCCCTGATCGTTCTTCCAAAATCCTGCTCGTGCAGGTGGGGACCCTGTCCTCGTCCCATCCCTCGTTTGGCGTGTCTGTTTTCTTTCTTTCTTTCTCGCGGACGTGAGACCTCAGGCGGGGGGTCTACTCAAGTGCCTGCGCAAGTGAGTGCAGAGTGGTGGTGTGGGGCGTGCAGTGGGGTGTTCGTTAGCTCCGAGTAGCAAGATCCGAACCGCGGTTGGCCACTAGCAGCGTGTGCAGCTGACGGCGGCTGCGACCAGCGAGCGGGGCTGTGGCGGCCAGAGCCTCATGTGAGTCTGTGTCAGAGAGAGGTCAAAGCGTGAGTGCAGTGACAAAAGAATTTTTGCCCCCGCCAAGCTCTGCGCGCGCGGCCAGATAAAACCCGGGAGAGGCGTGCGAGTATCGCCACCGTGTTCCTCTTTGTTGGTGTTCTTCTTATTTTTTTACTTCCGTAGTCAGGGGACAGGGCAAGTGGGGGCGGGGCGGACAGCCCAGGGTCTTTTACCCTGGGATCTCTCCGCCCAGTCCGGGGGTGCGTCGATCGAACCTTCCATCAATCACCCTGGGAACGTCCGGGTGTTGGAAGTAAAGATATATTGACCGCGCAAGACAAAGGGTGGCTAAGGGCTCTGCCCGCAAGGCGCCCGCGTCGCCGACGCGGTACCATTGACTAATCCCGGAATACACACCCACACGACCAAATAGCGAACATCCGAATACCGTGCAAAAAACACGGAACGTGAGACGAAGAACGTCACCTCAAGTTTGGCAAACGCCATACATGGGAGAGAGAGAGACATGGGCGATCCAGCGCTTCCTTCGATTGGACGGACGAAATGATCGCGGGAAAAGCGGGACCGCCATCGCGACATCTCGGGGGTACACCATATGCCGAGCCTGCTCGGCCTGCCATGGCGCGCGCGCGCCTCGCCCGAGCGCAGCCACCTGCGGACCTGGCCAGCCTGTTCCTGGTTCGTGCCCAGCCTCTCCTTCCGCTGCCGCCGGCCTCGCAGTCCCGCCAGCCATCACGCTGCAGAGCCTGCATAGACGCCACAGACGCCAATTCTGCAGCCCACAGCCCTGGCAACTGAGGGCGAGGGCCAGCAGTAACGACGACGACGGCATCTCACACCCCGCGCTGGCCAGCGCCATCAGCCCCTCACGGCCCGGCCCAACCTTGCCTTCGCCACCCTCGCCTCCAGTGCCTCCAAATCAAGCCGTCGCACCTCTCTTCTTCTGCGAATGCAGCGGCAGCACCACGATCCACGTCAGAGGCCGGGCCGACTGGCGGACCTGCATCCAGTCACTGCATGCCCAGCCATGCCCCCCACTCCCCACCCGCTTGGATCGATCAGCTGACAGCTCCACCAGCTCCCACACCACCGCGTGTCGTGTCATGAAGCATGACAGATAGAAAGCATGAACCATCGAAAGGTCTGATCTCCAAAAGGAGCTCTCGGCGCGCTGCGCGCGCCCGCTCCCCGCCCCTTAATAAGGGCCCCTTTTGCGCAGCAACACCTTAAAATTCATGGCCCTCAAAAATCGGGTCGGAGCGCAGCGGAGTGGGCCCGATTTTGAAAAGGCGACGCTTGCGTCCTAGCCTCCAACAACGCCTCCCCGGCGCAGAGGGGCCCGCCCCCGGAGGGATGCTCAACCCACAACCGCCCCACGCCACGCCGCCGCTTGCGGCGGTCCGATTCCCGGCTCGCGGGGCCAATTCGCTTATTTTACTTTTTACTTCCGTAAAAATGAAAATAGAGCCGGCGACGTCCCGCGCCCTCAGAGCGGCAGGGATTCCGCCTAGACCTCGCTTCCTGTCGCGGCCTCCTCGAGCGAGCTGTGAGCTCAGCCGAGTGCCGGCGCCGCCTCGGCCGCCTGGGGCGTCGGCTTGAGCGCCCGCCAGCCAAACCCACGGCCCGCGAAGAGCACGACGCGCAGCAAGCAGTACCACACATAGACGCCCCACACGCCGAGCAAGCCCGCGCCTGAGGGAGTGGGGCGGGGCTCGGCCGAGGGCTCGAGGGGCGAGGCGCGAGAGGCAGGCGAGGCGGGCGGCGGCGCCTGAGCGGCGCACGAGGGCGAGCAGCGCGGCGCAGGAGAGGCCGACGGCCGTGTAGGTTGCGGCGAGGCCGGCGAAGTCCTTTTGCGCGAGGAGGACGCCCTCGAGCGTGATTGCGGTCCCGTGTGTGCTGAGCGTGGCGGCCATCAGCGGGAGCACGGCCCGCATCTGCTCGCGCACCGCCGGGTCGGAGCTGATCTGGCCCGCCCCGGCGGTGAGCAGGGTGGCTGCCAGCCCGACGACCACGGTCGAGATGGTGGCGGTGCAGCGGAGCAGCTGGCGCAGTGTCGGCCACGCGGCGGCCATGTCGAACGAGGTGCGGGGCGCAGCCTCGGGCGGGGAGGGGCGGCGCGGGTAGACAAACTGGACGAGGGGCGACCGGCCGTCGGCGGCGGCGCTGCCCTCCTCCGCGGTGGCGGCGGCGGCGGCGGGAGGCGGGTGCTCCTCCGACGCGAATGCGGGGAGGAAGGCTTGGGCGAGCGAGGAGCCGACGTCGCCGAAGGTGAAGCAGAGCCAGGCGACTGCCATCAGGGCGGTGTGGGCGGCCGCGGGCGCGCCGCCGAGCGACGCGGCGGTGGCGGCGCACAAGTTGTGCATCGACACCTTGATCGCCATCACAAAGACGAATGGGATGAAGCCGAGAATCGCGCGCACCGTCGCCAGCCGCGGCGGGCGCGGCGGGAGGGCTGCCGCTTCGGTTGGAGGGGGAGGGGGAGGCTCTGGCGAGAGGAGGCCTCGCCGGGCGAGCACGCCGAGCAGCAGCGCCATCGCGGCGAGCTGGGATAAGGCCGTCGCCCACGCAGCGCCGGCGATGCCCCACCCGAGCCGGCTGACGAGCACGAAGTCCCCGCCGAGGTTGAGGAGCGCCGCGAGCGCCACCGCCAGCATGGGCGTGCGCGCGTCCTTGCCGCCGATGCAGACCGCCTGCGCCACGGTCGAGACGACCACCGCCGGCAGCGCGGCCGCGCGGATGGCGACGTACTTGGCGCACAGCGGCGCCAGCAGCGCGGCCTGTGCGCCGCAGTAGACGCGCGAGAGCGAAGAGGCGCAGAGCAGCGTGCCCGCGCCGAGGAGGACGCCTCCGGCGCCGCCGAGCAGGACCGCCGTCCGCGCGACGCGCGAGGCGGCGGCGTGGTCGCCGCTGGCGTGGGCCTTGGAGCAGAGGTTGGTCGCCGCGATCGAGAGGAAGAGGAGGAAGAAGGGCACCGAGTCGGAGATCGAGCCGGCCGGGCCGAGAGCGGCAAGCTGAGCGGTGCTCGCCCTCCCGATGAAGGAGGCGTCGATGAGCGACATGAGCGTGGGCGCCGCGTAGATGCCCATCGCAGGCAGCGCAAAGGCAAAGGCTTCGCGAAGCGTCGGCTCCTTTGGCGGCGGCGGCTGTGGCGGCGGCTGTGGCGGCGACGGCACCGGCGGCAGCAAGGTCAGAGCTGCGCCATCGCCCGCCTCGCCGTCCGACCACTGCTGGCCGAGCTCCGGCGAGCTCGGCAGGAACGCGAGGTCGCCTGGCGGCGGTTCGAGGCCGCCGAAAGCGCCCGGCGGCAGTTCGAGGCCGCTGAGGTCGTCCAGTTCGAGGCTGCTGAGGTCGTCCTGTCGCGTCACCACCGCCGCAGCTGGAGGGGCGCGGGTGGCGAGTCGCGGGAGGCCTCTGCTCAGAGCCCCAGCCGTTGGGCAGCCGACGAGGAGGAGAAGCACAGCAAGGGGCGGAGGTCGGGGTCGGTCGGCGACGAACGTCGTATCGCGCATCCTCGTGGCGATGCGGTAAAGCGGCCCGGTGGCCCGGGGTACCCTGCCGGAGAGGACCCATGGGTAGCGGCGCCACCACGACGAACGCCACGACAGCTCGCCGGGACTCTGCTGTAAAGACCTCGAGACTGGGTGCGTGTGCTTCTACTCACCAACGATCCCCTGTGATCGACTGATGAAAGAGAATTTTTCTCTCTTTAAGCGAGCCGCGTACAAATTCTTTTCGCGCGAAACGGGCGCGTTGCTGCATGTGCATGTCGGAAAGCAGGAACGCCACAGCGTGTACATATATGAGCTACTTCCCTCGCCTCGCTGAGCGTGAGACGGCCGCCGTCCGCATCGACTGGGGTGAGTACCGCGCCGCCGGCTGGAGCAACTACCTGCGTCCGCGGCCGGGCAAGGGTGTGCGCCGATCGGTTCTCGTCGCGGGCTGGTGCGTGTTGCACGCCTTCGAGGCGGTCTGCATCTTCGTGTACGGTCTCCCGTTTGGGCCCGGCGGCGCGCCCATCCGCACCATCGCCTGGCTGATCTTCACGGCGGCGGCCGGCGTCGCCTACCTCCGCGTTGTCTTTTCCGACCCGGGCTTCCTGACGACAGAGGCACTGCAGAAGCTCGCCGACGCCGCGGCCGGCGCCGGCGTGATTGACGTGCGCGGCAGTGCCGAGGAGCGCGGCGAGTTGTGGCCCGTGGCGCCGGGCACGCCGAGGGCTATCGCCGCCGCCGCCGCCGCTGCAAAGACAGAGGCGGACGGCGCAGAGGCGGCGGCGGACGCAGCCGCCGATGCGGAGGTGGCGGCGGCGACGGCGAGCGCGCTGCGGGCGGAGGAAGCTGTCCCGGAAGCGGTCTCTCTCATTCTCGCCGCCGCCGAGGAGGGAGAGGCCGGGGAGGAGGCGCGGGCGGCGGCCGGTTTGGCGGGGAGGGCGGCCGAGGCGGGGAGGGCAGCGGCGGCCGAGTCGGAGTCGGCGGCCGAGTCGGAGTCGGAGGCGCTGCGGCCCGCTGGCGGCGCGGAGGCGGGGCGAGGGCGGCAAGCTGCGGCGGTGAGAGAGGGAGACCGCAGGGCTGCGCCGATGGTGCGGGTGAGGCCTCTCCCCGGTTGCCTGCCCCTCCGGCCTCCGCTTCCCGCCTCCGCGCTCCTTTTGCCCCACCCGTCCCCACCCGCGCCTGCTCGCCCTCCGCCTCTTCCCTCGCCCCTCCGCCCACCCCGCCCCGCCGAGCCGCGACCCGCAGGCTGTCGACGAGGATCAGGACGAGTTCGAGCAGGCGCGGCGCGGCGAAGGAGCGGGAGAGCAGCTCTCTGCGACGCGCGCCTTTTGGGAGGCGAGAGACCGCGCCCTCGCCTCCCCGCCGCACGCCTCCCCCCCCCCGCCTCCCCTCCCACCGCCCGCCGCCGCACCCCGCACCCCGCACCCACCAGGAGCGGCTTGAGCTCGCGCCCAACCGCGACCTCGCCTCCCTCGGCGCCGCCGCCCGCTGGTTCGACTCGTACAGCGACGAGGCGGGCTGCCTGCTGCCCATCCGCGCAAAGTACGTCAAGAAGCAGCGCGCCATCGTCGCAAAGTTCGACCACTACTGCTACGCGCTGGGCAGCCCGGCCGGCCCGCGCAGCCGTGCGTCCGGGCCACGTCCACCACACGCCCGCGCCCCGCCCTCTAGGCAACTCTGTCGGCGAGCTCAACCACGGCGCCTTTTGGCGGCTGCTCGCGCTGCAGCTCGCCTCGATCTGGCTCGGCAAGGGGCTGATCGACCACGCGTACCACCACGGCGCAGCGGGCAGCGCGCAGAACCTCGTCAACCTGCCGCTGCTCCTGCTCGACGCCCTCGCGTGGGCGAGCGGCGTCCCGCTCGCCGTCCTGCTCGCGATGCACTCCTTCATGGCCCTCACCTCCTCCACCACGCACGAGTTCCTCAAGCTGGACAAGCTCCGCTACCTCCGCGGCTTCTACGAGTGCTCATGCCCCTTCTCCGAGGGGCTCCTCCCAAACTTGCGCCGCTTCTGCTGCCCGCGCCGTCCGCCGCCCCTCTGGGAGCGGCCGCCGCCCGAGCGCGAGTGGCCTGAGACGATATGGCGGAACCGCTACTACTCGTGCTTTGGCTGATCTCGGCCGAATACATTCAGCCCCATGTATGGAGGATGCAGTATGCATGTGCGAAGTCATGTGCACTCGCTCCACGTCGCTGCTGGCCTGCAGTGTAAAACCCCCTACTAGCCCGCCCTACGGCTTTCTTTACCCGCACATGCTCTCGACTTCATGTGCTTTAGGCGTAGCCCGTTGCCGTTCCCTCTCTGCAGTGCATCCCACGGGAGACAGACGCAAAAGTTCTCGCGATAAAGCTTACGAGAGCATCTATGGCCCTCCACGCGCGGCCGCGGGGGCGGCGCGCTCGCGCGCGCCGGCGCTGACTCGCGTGGCCGCAATCGGCCAATGGGCTCGCGCAGTGAGAGCCGCCCCAGAGATCTCTGCCAGAGTCCGAGTGCGAGTCGCACTCGCAGTCGGAACACGGAAGCTCGTCGTAGGCAGAAGCCCCACCCCAGACGCTCGGAGCTCACGATAAACAGCGGAGAAATGCTCGTCCGCGGGGGCCGGGGCTCGAACGAATTTGCTATTTGGAAAACACAACAGGAACACACAAACATGCACACTCTTCCATTTGGATTTGCAGCTCGTGACACTCTGTTTCACACCTCAAACGAGCGCTCGAGCCGCAGGTCGCGCGACGAGGAGCCGACGTGCGCGACGTAGCGTCCCCTCGCCAGCACCCACTCCCCCCCCTTCCAGACAGAGAGGTCCCGCGCGGCGAGGCGCAGGGGCACCTCCTCGCTGCCCCCGGGGGCGAGCAGCGACGTGCGGGCAAAGCCGCGGAGCAGTAGGGGCGGCTCCCCCGCCGCGGCCGGGAACGCGAGGTAGAGCTGCGGCACGTCGGCGCCGACCTGCTCCCCCACGTTCGTCACGCGCAGCCGCATCTCGACCGACAGCGGCTCCTACGAGGAGCAGCGCAAGACCCTCAGCAGCTGCACCTCTGCTCTGGCTCTCGGCTCGGCGCCCCCTTTCCCCTCTCCCTTGCCGGCTCCCGCGCACCTCGGGCCCAGCCGCGAGCCCAGCCGACGTGCCCAGAGGCTCCTTCTCGCCCTCCTCGCCCTCCTCGCCCTCCTCGCCCTCCTCGCCCTCCTCGCCCTCCTCGCCCTCCTCGCCCTCCTCCTCGCCCTCCTCCTCGCCCTCCTCGCCCGCCACTGCTCGCCCCCTGCCCCCTCCCCCAGCCGCGTGGTCAGCTGTGTCCGCCCTGCGGCGGCTCCGCCGCACCAGCCCCTCCCCCCCGCGCACCGTCGGAGGCCGAACCCACGCGTACGCAAACCGCGTGAAGGAGAGGCCGTGCCCAAACGGGAAGGCCACCGGCCTGCCGACCCTCCCCCTCCACCCGGCGGCGAGCCCCTCTGCGTAGCGGCAGACCGACTCGGTGCACGGCGGGATCGTGTCCGCCTCCGCCAGCGGCAGCGTGACGGGCAGGCGGCCGCTCGGGCTCGCGGCTCCGGTGAGCACGTCGGCGAGCGCCTCGCCCGACTCTTGACCCGCCAGGAACTGGAGCAGCACCGCGTCGGCACGGGTGGCCCAATCGGTAAGCACTGCGCCGGGGGCGAGCGCGACGACGACGAGCGGCTTGGACGTGCGCAGCAGCCCCAGCTGCGTGAGGAAATCGTGCTGGTCCAGCCGCAGGCTGGGCCGGTCCTCCGACTCGCTCGCCGTCGCGCCGCCGCACGCGACGACCACGTCTGCCTGCCGCATCGCCCGCAAGGCAGGGCTGATGCGGTCGGTCGGCGAGACGTGGAGAGTGACGCCGCGAGCGCGAAGCGCCGACGCGAGAGTGGGGTCGCGCCGAAACGCCACCCGGCCGGTGCCGCCGACCACAAAGTAGTCTCCCGCCTAATCGAATCAGTGACCCACCTCACACGCCTTGCCGCAGTACTTGAGTCAGCCTCACAGCAGTCTCCCGCCGTCCACGCGTCGCGTGCTGGGTCGATGGGCGTGTGGGCGCTGCACGCGCGGCCGAGCAGGGCGACGACCGCCCCGCGCCGGAGCGGGAGGGCGCGCTGCTCGTTCTTGAGCAGGACGGTCGACGCCTCCGCCACCGCCCGCGCGAGGGCGACGTGCTGCGGCGTCGTCGCGACCGCCTCGTACAGGGGCGCCGAGCAGGTGCAGCCCGCGGCGCAGGCGGGGCGGGAGAGAATGCCGGCGCGGAGCAGCGGCAGCAGCACGCGGCCAGCCATGCCGTCCACCACCGCCTAGGCAGCGCCGGGGACATGTCGTGGACATGTCGTGGAGTCGCGCGGCCACGCCGCTCCGCGCCCCCGCCTCGAGCGCCTCAGCAGCCCCTCCTTCAGCCCCGCCGCTCCTAGCTCCGCTCCTAGCTCCGCTCGGAGGCGTCGTGCCCGCGTCCGGCGCCGCACCACGGGAGGCGGCGGAGGTGGGGGAGGTGACGGAGGTGGCGGAGGCGGGGGAGGTGGCGGAGGCGGAGGAGGTGGCGGACGGGCTGGACGCGTTGGACGCGCTAGAGGCGCTTGAGGTATCGGCATCGGGCTCGTCGGAGGCGGCGTCGCTGGCCGAGAGTGAGGGGCCGCCGCCTTGGAAGCCGTGCTGCAGCTGCTGCAGCTGCTGCAGCTGCTGCAGCTGCTCGAGGTCAAAGAAGCCGTCGTTCCCGGGCATGTCCTGGTCGACTCCGGCGACGGCGGCGGAGGTCGCGTGCACCGCCCACCAGTCGGACATCACCCAGCCGCGGAAGGCGAGCCTGCGGGACGTGTGTGGCGGACGTGTGATGGACGTGTGATGGACGTGTCATCACCCGCCCGGGACTCAGCAGAGAGGGCTCGTAGCGGAAGGGTTCGTAGAGGGTCGCCTGCTCTTGAGCTCGCTGTCTAGGAAGTGTCTAGGAAGTGTCTAGGAAGTGTGTACTAGGAAGTGTCGCCTGCTCTTGAGGTCGCGCTGCAGCACGGACGGACTACCGCACGCGTGTGTCCCGTTGACGCGGTTGTGGGCGCACATCACAGCGACGGCGCCCGCCCCGACGGCCGCCTCGAAGGGCGGGTAGTACAGCTCGAAGAGGGCGCGCTCCGGCGCCTCGGCCGACATCGAACCGCGACCCGTCTCCTGCGCGTTCAGCACGAAGTGCTTTGGGACGGCGCCTGCAGGAAGGTTCCGAGGGAGTGTTCGGGGAGAGGCCTGGCTCAGCACGGAGGAGCAGCTTTGGGACACGGCGCCGACGCCCTCGCCCTGCAGCCCCGAGATGTACTCGCGGCCGAGCGCGGAGCCGAGCAGCGGCTCCTCGCCTACCGCGACGTGCCTCGGACATGTCATGGACGTGTCGCGGACGGCGCGGCGCAGAGCAGCGGGTCCGCTCCGCTCAGCGACTCGGCGGCGCGGCCGCTGCGCGGTACGCGCTGCACGTTGAGCTGCGGGCCGAGCATCACGTTTGCGCCTTTTGCGCGGAACTCCCTCCCAACCGCTGCGCCGTACGCGCGGGCGAGAGGGCGGGCGAAGGTGGCGGCGAGGGCGAGGAGGGACGGGAAGGCGGTCACCTGAGCCACCGTCCACCGAGGGGGAGTCCGAGGGAGGGAGAGGCCAAGAGAGAGAGAGGCGAGTCCAGGGAGGCCACAGGGAGAAGGCGTCGCCTGCCCGACCATGCGCGGGTCGGTGGTGCGGAAGCCTTGCCCGGCGTCGTGCATGTTGAGCGAGGGAAGGCCTAGTGGGCCGTGGACCTGTCAGGGACGCGTCCGGCGGGCCGTGCGCGGAGGCGGCAGGGGCGGGCCTGCGCGCGGCACGCCCATCACCGCCCCGACGTGGAAGCCCTCGAGCTGCCGCTTCCCCTCCCACCCCGCGCCAGAGAGCAGGCCGGCCTGCGAGAGGGCGCACACCGGGCCGAGGGCGTCTCAGCGGGCTGCCCCAACCCTGGCGGGGGAGAAGGGTTCCGCGCGCCTTCTCGCGCAACGTCAGGCTGCGGAGGAGCGCGCCAGCTGCCGCCTCGGGAGAGACGGACCGCCACCCCGCCGCGAGGCGCACGTGGACACCCTGCGTCGACTCTTGCCCCGCGCTGCCGTTGTCTGCCCTCAAGATGGCGGCGCAGTAGCGCGCCCGCTCTTGCCGCCCCCTCTCCAAGGGACGCCACGCCGGAGGCCTCGCCGGCTGCGGCAGCTCGGGCGCCGCCGGCGGAGACACTGGCGGAGACACGGCGGGAGCCGGCGCCGCCGGTCCGAGGTGTGGCGGCCGCGGCGGCGGTGGCGACAGTAGTTCGTCTGCGCGGACTGTCCCTAGCGGCCGCCACATCTGCGGCCGGAGCCCGGCCTGCTCGAGGAACAGCGCGTGGGCGAGCCTCGCGCGCTCGGGCGAGGGGAGGGCGATCAGCAGGGCCGCCGCCGCAAGGAGCAGCAAGGACAGCGCCGCGGGTAGCCACATGACCTCGGCGCCGCAAGGAGCAGCAAGGACACGCGCACGACACTTGGGGCCGGCGACGACGCCGGTGCGAGCAGCCACGCACCACGACGCCACACACACCCACGCGAGCGCGGGGTGCAGGGCAAAGTGGTGCGCCAGCGAGAAGGTGCCGATGACGGCGGCCGCTGCGCCAGTGCAGCCGTCGATGAGAGGCGTGGCCGAGCGGCGCCACCGTGGTTCCTGTTCCTCGCAGTCGTCAAGGTCGGCCGGCTCTAGCTCGACGCGCTCCGCGGCGCGATACAGGCGCTTCGACGGACGCATCAGGTGTAAAGTGGGGCACTACTCACGAGTTCGCTTTTAAACTCTGTGACGCTGTTCACAGACCTTATTATTGACAATTTAATACGTCCTATGGCGCTTTGCGCTGGTCTATGAGAGGTTCACTTAGACCCGATCGGCAAAGATTTTGCCCTCCGCCCGCGATGGAGGCCTTTGAGCGTCCGTCGCCAGCTCGCTCCTGGCGGCCCGACTGTGGCCGGCTGTCCGCGAGAGTCGACTCCTGGGCGTGTTCCGTGGTCCCGCGCCTGGATTCCGGCCCAGGAGGCTCTCGAGCGGCACACTGGTGACCCGCTCTGAAAACGCTGTCAAACTCGTGACGCTGTTCACCGCTTCACATAAACGCACAACCCGGGCCCGAAATCGCACAGTGACAGTCAGACATGCAACACGGTGACGCTGTGTTCACAGAAAAACACAACCCCGGACCCAAGACGACGCTGTTCACGCTTCACACAAACGCACAACCCGGGCAGACCCGGGCCCGAAATCGCACAGAGACAGTCACGCAACACGAAAAACAAAATCTCTCTCTCGCAACACGACAAATCGCAACACGGGGTCCGAGGGAAGGCGAGCAAAAACCTTATCGCGCGCGCTAGACGCCGACTCACAGGTAAGTATAAGTGGAGCAGCCGAGTAGATACAGCTAATCCTTTGTGTTCACACCTGCAAGAGGCGATCGCAAGTGTTGCCGAGACGCGAAGAAGACAAACACCGTTCACGTTCACACCAGCTTTAGCGTGGTGAAGAGAACCTCCTGTAGCTATGCTAGGATGTAGGCTAGGTGATGAACTATCTCTGGACTTGTGCGCGACTCAACTATCTTTTGCAGGATGAAGCGGCTTGGATGGGACACAGGAGTCTGATCTACAGTTCCGGTGCTTCGCCGCTGAGAGAGAGAGAGAGAGAGAGAGAGAGAGAGAGAGAGAGAGAGAGAGAGAGAGAGAGAGAGAGAGAGAGAGAGAGAGAGAGAGAGAGAACATGAGCGGGTCCCGAGCGAGTGTGCATTGACCATTGTGCCGGCCGGCTTCGTTCGCTATCCCCGATCGATTTCAGTCCGTAGGCGACGGCGCCCCGGCGGATCCCATTGTGCATTGATTGTCCCGCCCGACCGAACACAAACAACATCTCTCTCTCTCTCTCTCCGAACACAGCGTGATACACTCGAGCGAGGGAGGGAGGGAGGGAGGGAGGGAGGGAGGGAGGGAGGGAGGGAGGGAGGGAGGGAGGGAGGGAGAGAGAGAGAGAGAGAGAGAGAGAGAGAGGGAGAGAGAGAGGAAAGTTCTTAAAATAAAATGTCTCTCACAGCACACTGGCACGACAAGGGCGCGGACTCGCGCAGACCACAACCAGGGGGGCACAGGCGTAGATGGCTCACTATAGTCGCAGACTATAGTCGATCGAGCGCGTCGGAGAGGTGTTTCGACACCGAGTGTTTCGCTTGGTTTTCTCTGCATCGCGAAGAGGTGGTTTGTGAGCACACTAGGGGTTGGGTCGGGCGCGGCTCACGATTGCGCTTGAGACGCGCCAACCAAGCTAATGCCTCTCTGTGTTTTTTTCTGCCCTGTTGAGCACTTGAGCACTTGATAGGGTCGATTCCGCATGGTACGGGACCCCTCGATCGTCTCGCCCTCCCTCACTGGTGTGTTCATTGGGGGGGGTCATAACAAACACGGTACAGGATCGAGTGCACGCCCTGTTGTTTTGCGTGATCGGATCTTGCATGAGTGTATTTATTCTTTGCGGCCTTTGCCGCTTGCGGCCTCGAGCTCGGCTGCGGCCACAAGAGCGGCCTCCTTGACACGCAGCTGCGTAATCGTCGGCCCGCGTGCGCGGCTCTTCACGGCCTGTGCCGGCGAATTGGCGTTCACGCGCTGAATCATCATCGTCACGGCTCTGTCTGCTGGTGCTGCTTCGCGCTCGCGTGTGTCCTTGGAAGTTCTACCCGCCTCCTTCACCTACGAGCTCGTATGCCACGTCGCCGCCTGTGTTTGGGTTTCTATGTTTGCGATTTGGATTTTGGATTTTCTACTGCACTTGTTTATTTATTTACCCAGCTTGGGCGTGTCCACGTTGGAGCCAGCTCCGCCGTACATGGAGGCAACCGATGCGAGTCGACTGGTGTGTGTGTCGACGCCACACTCGTCAGTATTAATGAGCCGTAACATGACACACTCTCCCGATGCCCACTCATGGTCGCACTCTACTTGTCCGAACAAGCGGCTACCGCCTACGTCAGCACTACCGTATGTCCGACGGGCGCGCGCGCCACGGACGTCGCAGGACGGCCGCGAACACCGCGCAGCAAAAGATCAACCTGTGTGGTGGCGGCGTGCCGTTCTCCCATCTCCCTTGCGTGCTCTGTTTTTTTCTTACTTTCCCCTATTAATCGGCTCGCTCCCCTACGCGCTACGGCCTACGCAACCTCTGTCAGCTGTCCGCCTTTGGGCATGTTCGTAAGAGCCAATTGAAGAGAATTTACAACAAAACTCCCTCGCACCGGACTCGAACTAGGTCACCTTGAAAAGAAACTTCACCTCGGCGCGTTTCGCACGTCCCTGGAGGTGGTGCTTGATTGGGTGTCGAGATATGGCCGGCATCGTGTACGAGGCGCGCAGTCGCAATGGCCAAGCCTGGTCACCTGACTAGCGTTGGGTGTCCAGTCACTGGTCGGACTGTTCTTCACCTCAGTAACAACAATACCTGACTCCCACTCTCCGCCACGCCCCGCACAGAAGCACGGGAAATACGGCAGCTGCTGGTCGGCCAAAAAGGTGATGGCCGAAACAAAGAACTTGGACCTGCTAATGGATCGATGCTGGTACGGCCTTGCTGGCACCATCTTCAAGGACGGCACCGAGTGCTTCTGGGAGATCAATTGGTGGGACGGCCAAGAGCGAGAGGGGAAGCGCATCTTCACCAACCAAACCATCGTCACCGTCAACGGCGATTGGCTGCCTAGTGACCGCTGAGAATGGATGCCACGTCCCAATCCACCTGCCCACCTCGACTCGCAGGCACTCCGGACGTGTCGCCCTGCTGGTTCGGAGGCAGCGCTGATTGCGATGGTGGGTCGGTGGTGCCGCCTCTTACAGTTCGTTGTGTCTAGCAGGCATTATCGACGGCAAGATGACATATGAGGTGCGGATGAAGCTGCCGTGCTGCACATTCACGGCGATGAACCTGACCTACGACTGGTTCAACTTTCCGAAGAACGACGACTTTTCAGGCTTCTGGACGATCGGCGCTATGTCGCCAATGGGGCCGGTGCAAAGAGAGATGGTGGCGTGGACTGCACTGGAAGAGGAACGGTCCACCTTCACAACACCACCGCGCTGCAAACGCAGGTGGCCATGATATTCGGCCTCGACCCGCACATTGCGCCGGAGAAGGTGGACGCGGAGATTGAGCGGCTGGAGAAGGAGCATGGCGTCGCATTCAAAGACAAGTTTACGAAGATTGCCTATGCGCCCACCTACAAGCCGGGCGACACGGGCGAATTCTCCTTCAACTGCGAGGGAAAGCCACCGACCATCGACCACGCCAAGAATGCGAACGCAGAGCAGGTTCTCGCGACGCCGTACCCCCCATTGAGATGATGGAGAGCAGGGCTGCGGCCAGCGCCAGGGCAGCGCTTCCGCTTGCGTTAGCGCTGTACTCAATGTCACACGGACACGCTTGTGTGTACGTCGATCCTCGCGAGGCTTGTACCAGCTTGAGTACGGATTTGGCACTTCGGATACAGTGGTTGTGTAAATAAATAAAATGGAAACCCCCATAGGAGATGGGTAAAAAGGAGCAAGTCCCCGCCGACGCGGTCTTTGTGCACAGAGGTTAGAGGGTTTGTGTGTGTGTCACAACCGCAATACCGACAAGTCGGACTCACGGCGCATCGACTGCTATACCGGCGGAGCACTCGCTAGCCTGACCACTCCGAGAAGCAGCACGATTATCACAGCGACAGTCAGTCCCTCGGGAGTGACGAAGCGGTCGAGCAGCTGGCGCGTCTTCGCCGCGCTGCGCACCTCAGCGGGATCGGCGGCCGCTAGCTCCTTGGCGCCGCAAGTGAGTACGGCCGGGTTCATCGCCATTATCTCGAGCGCCTGAGGTGGGAGTGGAGTGGTTGGTGGGAGAGAGCGCGCCAAATCGTAGCCCGTCAAGTCACTTGGAAGGGCAGTGGGGCGCAGGTGTCTCGGGGCCCGCCCGAGCGTCGCTTCACCTCGTCACGACCGACCAGGCCGACCAGCGCAGCCTTGGTCTCCGTGAGTAGCGCCGGCGTGGCACATGATCTGGTTGTTTCGCGCGATGGCTTCTCTCGCCGCCGCCTCGCTCCCGTAGCACTTTTTCAGCGCACCCCACAGCGCGGAGAGCTCTGCCTGCTTGTAGCTGTCCGCGTATGGCACGTCTGGGATGCCGAGCAGCACGCCGGCACGGCCTGCGGCGTTCGCGCGAGCAGGCACTCTGACCAGGCCGAGGGTAGGCAACAGGACAGGCCAAAGGGCGATCGATGCGGGCATGCGAAGAAGAAGAATTCTCGCAACGTGCCATGACGGCGAGGCACGTCCTAAGAGCACGTAGGTGAAGGAAGTCGGGCACCAGTTCCAAGGACGTACGCGAGAAGCAGCAGAGCATATACCTAAAAGCACCAGCAGACAGAGCGATGACGATGATGATTCAGCGAATAAAAACGGTCAAACTCTGAGACGAGATGGGGATTTAGGGACATGTGTCCCCGCCCTGCACGTTCTTGGTGTGAGGGATCTTCAATCCGTGTCCCCTCACCCCTCGTCACAACCCGACACGGAAGAGCGGCAAGAGTTGGGGCTGCGGCTACGGCTGCGGCTACGGCTGCGGCTACGAGAGGGGCCGGGGTCGCGGGAGAGCCGCTGCGCCGCGTGGACGCGCCTACACCGCTCTTGCTCCACTCGCCACCTCTCGCAAAGGTCCAAAGCCATAGCCACCACCTCCTCCGGCAAGTCCTTTCGCCGTATCTCGCCGTCTCTCCACGCCTGCCGCCTGGAAGAACTCGTCGTCATAGCCGTATTGCATCACAGCCTGCTGAACTGCGTCGTGTACGACCCCTGTCGTCCTATCCTGCGCCTCAGCCACGACCCCTGCCGTCCTATCCTGCGCCTCAGCGTCGGAAAAGTCGAACTCGGAGTCATACTCGGAAGCAGGGGCACAGACGGCCGCACACTGGGCAAATCGGCCGATTTCCAACCCGCTAAATCATCACGGCCCCGTAACACCCTCCGCGCGCGGTCAAAGGCTTCCCAGGGCCGGTCCATGACATGAACCGATAGACACAAGCAAAAAAACCGCACCTCTAAAAGCTTCTCGGGCACCCCGAGGCCCATACGGTCTCGAGTGCCACCCTTTGCAGCCCTGTGATCTTGACAGCACCCCTCTCAGGCCTATGATCCTCAGCGCGCCCCCTCAAGATCTGCTGAGATCCCCACAGACCCTGCCGTGGGTGCTTGATCCTGAGGCGCGCCCCCGCCGGTGCTGTGATCCTGAGAGGGGTGTCTTTGGGCTCAAGCAGGTTTGCCTCTCGCACCCCGTCTGTTTTCCTTTCCTTTTTTCTCTACAGCACCCTCTCTTTCCTCTCTATTTTCCCGGGAAAACTGCGTGGAAATCGTCAAATTTTTGGCTCTGAGCCGAGTCTGAGGCTGGTTTGGGCCCCAAATCAGCCAAATTTTAGGCCAAATCGGCAAAATGCCGGGAATTTCGCGGAGAACCCGTGTATACCTGGAAAGTTACCCTGCGACCGCCTGGGTATTTTGTCGATTTCCTCAATTTTGCCTCAGATTTTGCCCCAGACCAGCTCTCAGACTCAGGGAAACTCGCGAGTTTCCAGAATGGAGCACCAAACACCCTCTGTTTTCCCTGGAAATTTCCGGAAACGCAAAGTGCTGGGGACCCTCTGTTTTCCTTTTTGTTTTCCGGAAAACCTGCTTGAGCCCAAGGGTGTCTGTGATCCTGAGAGAGGCTTATCGGGCATACCAGTCCCCCCGTACAGTCGAGTAGATGGGCCCCCACGGGCGCACGGCTCTCCGTCTCCGGGATGAGGGATCGCCCCTTCGCCCCCCTACCCCCCCGGAGAGCCGTCGGCGGCGGTGCCACCGCCTGCGCGGCGGGTCGGCCCGGGCCCTCCACCTCCCCTCACCCCGCGGCAGCCTCGGCCACACGCGGCTGACCAGCCGCCGCCCCCAGCCTGCGGGTCGTCGACGTGCTCCGCGGTCGAGCGGCAGGTCGGTGAGGAAGCAGTTTGCGGCGACGGCGGCGCGAGCGCGAAGCGCAGCGGGCGGGCGGGACGGACGGGACGGATTTCGCGACACAAAACTCGCGGGAGAATGATATGTGCTCGACAAGCGGGGCCGTCGAAGCGCGAAGTTCGCCCGTCGCGTCCGATCGGACGACGTTCGTGAACACATCGTGGGGCGTAGGTATATTGTTGGCAAATCAAGACACAGAGCTCACACAGAATCACAGCGGGAGGAAAGCGGCGAGTCGCAATTCCAGGGGTCGTTGTGGCGGGCCACCCTGTCCAGAGAGGCATGGATGCCAATCTGGGGTCTCTCGACCGAGTCTATGAGCCCTGGCCGCCTCCCGATCTTGGTGGTAAGGCCGCAGCCGAAGAGGGCGACGGAGATGGCGCGGGAGAGTACGGGTGTTCCAGGGGATCACGACACGCACCGACCCTTCACGAGCCGAAAGGCTGCACCCGGGGAAGGCACAGTAATCCGGGCACGTGTTGGGCGCCCCATTCCGTTTAGGGCTAGGTCGGCTCAGGGCCCCGTCCACCTCCCTCCCACTTGGCGCGTGATAATGGGGAGATGCCACCCAGGCCAGCCAGGGCAGGGGCGGAGAGCGAGGGCGGAGGGCGGGATGGGCGCCAAGCGGGAGGGAGCGG